ACATCTGTGTTCTGCCAGCTCCTGCTGAGTCATCCTGTAGTGGTGACTCCCAAACCTCAATGGTTACCTCGACAAAGGTTTACCTGTCTCTCATGGTTCACATATTTCACAGGTCAGCTCTGCAGCTGGGGGACCCAGGGTCAGGGAACACCCCAATCTCGGACATGCAGCTCTCGAGCACAGGGAGAAGCTGCAATGACTCAGCTTTGCTAGACACCTCATGTCCCTGCTCGGAGGTGAGAGGTGTCATTTCCACCCGCATTCCATTGGCCAAAGAAAGTCATATGGCCAAGCCTAACCTCAACAGGATGGGGAGATATCCCTCCCTCAGGAGGGGACACCAAGGCCCCTGTAGGAGAAGGTGGACTGGGTGATTCAATAATAAAATCTATCACATACCCAACTTTTTTTTAGGATTAAAATTTTATTTTCAAGTATTCACAGGGAAGCACTGGCTATTCCTGGTTTATCTTGATAAAAACAGAGCTCCACTCAATGTCTACACTGCTATACAAGCTGCATATGCTTCTAAACATTCTTTTTGCTGCTTCCGGAGCCAACTGGTACAGGCAGTTAGAACATTTGTAGGACTCAGGACATTCTTGCCTATTATGGTTGAGAAAATGTAAATAACTTTCCAGATAAACTGCAAGTAAATACAATGAGGCAAATGTGCTATGTTTGTAGAATGCTGGAGAGGCTGGGAAGGTTTTGTCTTATAAAGTCCTATGATGATTTCAGTAGAAGCAATGGAGATGAGGAGAAGGATGGAGGAGGGAGGCCAGAATCCCTGTGCCAGGCTTGGTGGGTGAGGGACCTGGGATCTAGGAAGGGTTTAGTAATTACCCAAAGACATCCCAATTAAAGTGTCAGAGGCAATATTAAAATGTGCAGTTTCTCTGGCTCCAAAGCACGTACTTTATTCTTGTGCCCCAGGATGGCTCCCCAAAGGAAACGGACAAAATGAGGGAAAAATATGAAAAAGAGAGGTTAAAAAAAAAAAAGTTGAGAGGGAAAAGCAGCACAGAGAGGTAGAGGAGGTAAGAGAAAGACACTACTAGGAGAGAAAAAGGAAAGAGAAAGAAGATCAACAAAGAAAAAAATGGTAACATTAAAAGAGAAGATGCCGAAACTGGTTTGGCTCAGTGGATAGAGCGTCGGCCTGCCGACTGAAAGGTCCCAGGTTCGATTCCGGTCGAGGGCATGTACCTGGGTTGCGGGCACATCCCCAGTGGGAGATGTGCAGGAGGCAGCTGATCGATGTTTCTCTCTCATCGATGTTTCTAACTCTCTCTCTCCCTTCCTCTCTGTAAAAAATCAATAAAATATATTTTTTAAAAAAATAAAAAATAAAATAAAAGAGAAGAATAAAGTTGGAGGACTGATACTACCTGACCTCAGTCTTCATACAGTAATCAAGTGTGGTATTAGTGAGAGAACAGACAAAAGGGAAGCCACACTGGGCGGAGCTGGCTGCAAAATACACACCTGATAAAGGCCTGTTATCCAATATTTACAAAGAACTCTTACAATTCAGTAATATGAAAACAATCAGATTTTAAAACGGTCCAAACCATTTGGTACGTGAAATGGTGCTTAACAGATACATGAAAAAGGTACCTGAAAAGGTGATCAACATCACTCATCACCAGGGAGATGCAAACCAAAATCACAACGAGCTGTCACCTCATACATGTTAGAGTGGTTATTATAAAAAAGACAAGTGATCACAGTGTTGGTGACAGAGGGTGTGGAGAAAAGGCAATCTTCGTGCACTATTGGTAGAAATGTAAATTAGTACAACTACTATGGAAACCAGTATGGAGATACCTCAAACAATTAAAAATAATTAATTTTTTAATTGTGCCCCAGCATGGCTCCCAGGTGGCCCAGTTGGTTGGAGCATAACCCTGTATGCCGGTCAGGGCACATACCTAGATTTTGGGTTTGATCCCCAGTCAAGGTAGGTAAGAGAGGCAACTGATCAATGTTTCTCTCTTTCTTCTTCTCTCTCGCCCTTCCTCTCTCTTTCTAAAATCAATAAAAACATACCCTCAGATGAGGATTAAAAAATATTAATAATAGAATTACCATAAGACCAGCAATCTCACTTCTAGGTATATATCGGAAGGAAATAAAATCACTCTCTCAAAGAGATATCTGCACCCCTATGTTCATTGCAGTATTATTTACAATAGCCAAGATATGGAAACAATCTAAGCTCCATCAACAGATGAATGGGTGAAAATGTGGTGTGTGTGACATACACACACACATGCACATACACAGCACACAGACATTTAGCCATAAAAAAGGAGATCCGCCATTTGTGACAACGTGGATGATCTTGAAGGCATTATGCTAAATGAAGTAAGTTAGACAGAGAATGACAAATAGTGTGTGATCTCACTAATATGTGGAATCTAAAAAAAACACACCCCAAAAACAAAAGATAAAACAGAAATAGAGAACAGATTAGTGGTTGCCAGAGGTGGAGGTTGGCAAGAATGAGTATAGGTACAAGCTTCCAGTTATAAGTTCTGGGGATGTAATGTATAGAATGGTGACTCTAGTTAACAATACTGTATTGAAACTTGCTATGAGTAGATTTTAAAAGTTCTCAGCCGAAGGAAAAAATTGTAACTGTGTGAGTGACAGATGTTAACTAAACTTATTATGGTAATAATTTTGCAACATACGCATATTTCAAATCACTATGTTGTATACCTTAAACTAATACAATGTTAGATATCAATTACATATCAAATACTGGGGAAAATGCTCCATATCATATGTCATTAAGGAATTGCAAAGTAGCCCCAGCCGGTTTGGCTCAGTGGATGGAACATCGGCCTGTGGACTAAAGGGTCCGGGGTTTGATTCTGGATAAGGGCACATGCCTGGGTTGCCGGTGGGATCCCCAGTAGGGGGCATGCAGGAAGCAGCCAATCAATGATTCTCTCTCATCATTGATGTTTCTATCTCTCTTTCCCTCTCCCTTCCTCTCTGAAATCAATAAAAATATATTAAAAAACAAAACAGAAACAGCAATGAAATACCACTACAGGCCTACTAAGGTGGCCAAAATCCCAAACACTGACACCACCAAATGCTGGTGAGGCTGAGGAGCAGCGGGAACTCTCATTCATTGCTGGTGGGAATGCAAAATGGTATGAGCACTTCGGGAAACAGTTTGGCAGTCTCTGAGAAAACTGAAAATACTCTTACTCTACGATCCCGCAATCATGCTCCTTGGTAGCTACCCAAAGGAGTAAAAAAACTTACATGCACACAAAAACCTGTGCATGGATGTTTATAGCAGCTTTATTCACAATTGCCGAAACTTAGAAGCAACCAATATGCTCTCTATTCGGTAAGTGGATAAACCGTGGTACATCCACACAATGAAATGTCATTGAGCACTAAAAAGAAATGAGCTACTAAACAATGAAAAGACATAGAGGAACCTTAAATGCATACTACTACATTCACGGGGCCACTTGGAAAAGGCTATGTATTATATGATTACAACTATATGACATTCTGGAAAAGGCAAAACTATGAAGAGAGTAAAAAGATCAGTGGTTGCCAGGAGTTATGGAGGAGGGAGAGCTGAATAGGCAGAGCACGGAGGGCTTTTAGGGCAGTGAAACTACTGTGCATGATAACATAATGGTGGGTACATGTCATTACACAGTTGTCCAAATTCATCAAATGTACACCACCACCCATGAACCCTAATGCCAACTGGTTTCTGCGTGTTAATGTGTCTGTTGGGTCCACCAATTGTAACAAATGTACCTCTCTGGTGGGGATGTTGATCATGGGAGGCTATGCACGTGTGGGGCAGGGGGTGTATGGGAAATCTCTACACCGTCTCTCCAGTTTTTCTGTGAACTTAAAGCAGCTCTCAAAAAGACATCCCATAAAATATTAAAAATAAATTTAAAAGAACTCAGCAAAGCAAATAAATAAATAAATAAGGACCTTCACTAGAGACCTTCAAAGTTCACTTCAAGCCACCTTTGCGCCCCCAGGCCCAGCCTCCTGCTGGACAGTTAAGGAAGCCAGGAGAGGCCTGGCGCGCCCCCTGCGGGATGGGAGAAGGGGTGCGTCCGGCCTCGCGGCGGCGCCGTAATCATCCGGAAAGCTCTTCACAATACCCTTGCGGGGTCCCAGCGCACACCGCACACCGCACGCGGCAGGAGACCTTCCGGAGCTGAGTACCGGGGTGAAGCACTCGCGTTCATTCACTAACGTTCAGCGCAGGTGAGACGCCGGGAGAGCGGCGGCGGGTGCGGTGAGGAAACCGGGGTCAGGGTCAAAGCAGAAAAGTAAAGGTGGAACCTGCCCCAACCCCCCCGGGGGGGTCACACCCTGGGGTGCTCACTGCGTCTGCGCCTTGACCTCCCTCGGTGCCGCGTGCACGAGTGGGTGACCACGACCCTTCGGAGCGAACCTTCTCCTACATCTGCCCACGGCCACCTAGACAACTAAGACGAGCCAGCACCCAGATACACAAGAGGACGCGCGCGGAAGCGTGGAGCCAGCACGCGAGCGCAGCCAGGGCCACGCTGGGGGCTCCCTCTCGCCGGCCGCCCGAGGGCCCCCAGCCCCGGTGCACCTCGCGCTCCGCCAGCGCTGCCCTCGGCGGGGGAGGCTGACTTGGTAGCCGAACGCCCTGGGGACCCGCTGGGGTGCGGGCCGACCACCACGCAGGCAGCGCTCCCGGGCCCCCCTCCCGGCCCGCGCAGCGTGCGCGCCGTCCTCGCGCCCCTACTCTCCCCCCACCCCGCAACCGCGACCGCGGGGCACCTGCCCTGGCGGCTGGGAAACCGGAAACGCGCGTTGGGCCGGGCCGCCCGCCGCTGCCGCCGCCGCCGCCGCCTGCACCGCCCCCTCCCGGCGTCCCCGCCCTCCGCCCGCCGGCCCGGCGTCTCCGCAGCCGCTGGGGGCGGGGAGCGCAGCGCGCGTCGCGAGGGCCGCTCCGGGGGTGAGTAGCGGCCAGGCCCCGCTCGGGGGCGGCCTGACGCGCCTTCCAGGCAGCTCCCGGCACCCCGGGGTGGGTGGGCGTCCCGCTCGGCCGGGGGTCCCCAAGGGCCCTGTGGACCCCTCCGCCGCCTCCCCTCTCCACCCCGATCCCGGGAGCTCCGGCGCCCGCGGGAAGGAAGCGCGCGCCTGTGGGCGCTGTAGAGGGGCGGGCGGCGGCGGGTTTGGGGGGCCCCGGGGAGGCCGCCTAGCCGGGACGCCCGAGTCTGTTCAGGACCTAGGGCCGCGCTCTCCCCGCGAGCGACTGGGAAGCCGCCAGGGTCTCACTGCCAGTCTCCGGAGGTGGGAGTGCGTGCTCCGTCCGCCAAAAAGTAGGATCATGGAGCCGTTCGCGGTCTCATGCAGGCGCGGTCCGTGGCTGTCACCTGTGAGCGGCACCGCCTGGAGGGGTGGAGGCCAGACCAAAACAAAACGGCAGAAACACCCTGCCCACGTCGGCGGGTGCAGATGCAGTCCTCGCGGGCCGCGGCAGTGCAGAGAGCGCTACCTTCCCGCGGGCCCGATGCCGCCTCGCTCGCCCTCAAGCCCCCCTGAGTCCTGACAGCGAAGTGTGTAGGGCATCCTGCAGGAGTTGTGCGGTTCTGGGTGCTTTTGCCCAAAGACATCCTTTGGGATGAATTCAGAGCCACGTCTCACGTCCCACGAGACTGGAAGAAGAACCATGTAAAAGGAATTCGACAAAAGCTTTCCACATCTCTGTTTATTCTTTTGAATCCATAAAACGACTTTTAAAAAAGCATTCGGGCCACCTAAGAGAGAATGCACTTCTGGCCAGAGCATGCAGGATTCTTTTGCCCAACAGGGGAAAGGAAGCAGAGAGCTGGCACAGCGGAAATGGCCCTGGTGCCCTATGAGGAGACCGCGGAAATGGGGTTGCAGAAATTCCACAAGCCTCTTGCCACCTTCTCCTTCGCCAACCACACCATCCAGATCCGCCAGGACTGGAGGCAACTGGGGGTCGCAGCCGTGGTTTGGGACGCGGTAAGCAAATCCTGGGGGGGGGGGGGGGGGGGACTCTGAAAACATCTGCAATTGATTATAAGACTGGTCTTTACTTAAAAAGAAATGAAAGAACAGCTTTGTTGAGATATAACTCATATACTGTACATGTCACCTACAGTGCATAATGAACTGGTTTTTTAAAGTAAATTCAGAGTGATGCAGCCATCACCATGCTCAATTTTTAAATATTTTCATGACCCCATTCGCTCCAAAAATACTTCTACCCACTAGAATCACTTTCCTGATCATCTTCCCCAAAATAGATTGCATTTTAAGGGCAAGTAAAGAAACGTTAAGTTAAAATACTGCACAAAGGATATTGTAAAATGACAGCCCAAAGTGAAGATCATGTGTGTGTTTTTTTAATATTTTTTTATTGATTTCAGAGAGGAAGAGAGAGGGAGAGATAGAAACATCAATAATGAGAATCACTGATCGGCTGCCTCCTGCACGCCCCCTACTGGGGATCGAGCCCGCAACCCAGACCTGTGACCCTTCAGTCCTCAGGCCGATGCTCTCCTCCACTGAGCCAAACTGGCCAGGGACATGTGTTTCCTTTAAGTTCTGGGTGGTTGTAATGGTCCCCAAATTATACTATAATTGCCTTTTTACTTCCTCTCGGAGCACTGTCCTCAGCTGCATGTGACAGTGACTTGCCCCCAGCATCTAGACAGGGGTGGGCAAACTTTGTGACTCGAGGGCCACAATGGGTTCTTAAACTGGACCGGAGGGCCGGAACAAAAGCATGGATGGAGTGTTTGTGTGAACTAATATAAATTCAAAGTAAGCATCATTACATAAAAGGGTACGGTCTTTTTTTTCAATAGTTTTATTCATTTCAAACGGGCCGGATCTGGCCCGCAGGCTGTAGTTTGCCCACGGCTGATTCTAGCACCACACCTGGGACTAGGTGGCAGCTCATTTGATGTTGGATAACTGCGTGATGTAGATACAATTTTACAGATTTTGCATTGTATTGAAGTGAGAGGCACATTTAGAAATAAAAATCAATATGTTCTAACCGAGTACTTTAAGGAACCTAGTCGAAGGTAACTACATGAGAAGTATTCCTAGACCAAGTAGTAAAAATAGACAGTAGTGAGGAATGGGTGAGCCTCCTAAGTGCTCACTAGACCAATAGTAAGTGGCCATGAAAACACACGATTTTAAAATCATGTTAACAGTGTTCAGTGCTTCTGTAGAATTGTATGCAAATGCTAACTCACACGCCAAGTATCCAAAGTGTGTCTAAAACTCACCTTTTGATGCCCAGTGATGCATGGCGAGGGCTCCTGCCGGGTGATGCCCAGAGGGAGGCATGCAGCTCCGGGAGCCTGGGTGCTGCTCTGCTTTTCCTTCTGGGAGATGTTGTGGCCTTGCCGACTTGAGCTTGGTTTAGAAACTGGACGTTCCCTTAAGCAGAATCCCAGAGACCGTTCATGCCAGAGAGTCTTGGAAGCCTCGAGTGTAGGCAGTGACGCATAAGAATGAATCTTCCCAAATTCAGCAGGACCCTGTCTCGTGTGGGCCGTGTCGTGGACCGCTACCGTCCCCTTCAGGGCCTGGGGCAGCCGCTCTGCGGGACGCTGTGCTGTGCTGTGCTTGCTCGAGGGGTCACCTCCCAGCAGCACCTGAGTTCCCGTGTGTGCGGATCGCCTGGGAGTTGACCCTTGCCGTGGGCAAGGGGTGCGATGTCTCCTGCCAGCGCAGAGCCTACCTGAAACTCCAGCACTTGCTGACTTCATCAAACCCCCTGTGTTTTGACGCAGGCCGTCGTCCTCTCCACGTACCTGGAGATGGGAGCCGTGGAGCTCAGGGGCCGCTCTGCTGTGGAGCTGGGTGCTGGGACGGGGCTGGTGGGCATCGTGGCTGCCCTGCTGGGTGAGTGTGATGCGCGAGCTTGAGCCCTTGTGAGTGGAGCTCATTGAGAGGTGTGTCTGCTGTTTTATTGATGTAAAACCCACTGTTTGTTTCCCCTGACATGATTCTTTTTCTCCCCGCTGTATTTCTTTATTAGGAGTTATGGGCTATCTGCTGGTGCTCTTACCTCCAATCCAACAAGGCTAAATTCTCTCTCTCTCTCTCTCTCTCTCTCTCTCTTAAAATATATTTTTATTGATTTCAGAGAGGAAGGGATAGAGAAATAGAAATACTAGTGATAAGAGAGAATCATTGATTGGCCACCTCCTGCATGCCCCACACTGGGGATCAAGCCCACAACCGAGGCATGTGCCCTGACCGGAAATTGAACAGTGACCTCTTGGTTCATAAGTCGACACTCAACCACTGAGCCATGCAAGCTGGGCGTCTCTCTCGCTCTCTCTCCTCTCTCTCTCTCTCTCTCTCTCTCTCTCTCTCTCTCTCTCTCCTTGTTATTTGCACTTCAGTCGTTGTACTGTTGATATTTGGCTCTGTTGACTAATTAGTTTGCTGACCACTGCCCAGCTGGTTTGGCTCTGTGGATAGAGTGTCGGCCTGTGGACTGAAGGGTCCCAGGTTCGATTCTGGTCAAGGGCACATGCCCAGGTTGCAGGCTCGATCCCCAGTAGAGGGCCTGCAGGAAACAGCCAATCAGTGATTCATCACTGATGTTTGTATCTCTCTCCCTCTCCCTCCCTGTCTGAAATCAATAAAAAAAATATATTCAAACAAACAAAAACTTCACTGGCTGGTATAGTGACACAGGGTGGCAAAGCGCCTAGGTTTAGAAGGATACTTGGTTTTGACACGTCTTTTAACTTCCACTAGCCGAGTGACCTTGGGCAAGTTGCTTAACTTCTAAACTGCAATTTCCCTGTAACACAGGGAAACCATCGCACTCATTGCACACTGATGACCAAATGGGATGTGTGTGGAAATCTGTTAGCTCGCTGATTGGCACAAAGTAAATGCTTATCAAGTGCGATTGGCTCTCTGAGTATTTTTGTTTCTGGTCTAGAAATCGGCACCGGTGGGGCGGGAACACCAGGATAAGGCTCCTCAAAGACTATCACCAAGCGAGTCGGGGAGTGCTGACTGGTGGGGGCCGGGTCTGAAGGTGGCTTGTGGAGGGTGTCTGGGGTGGTTTCACCCAGGGGCCAGCCACCAGCCTCCACCTGAATATTGTATTGGCCTCCTCACTGTATTGTGATCTATAATATACTCAGATATTATTTCCTATGCTGTTCTCACATCCCTGTGACTATTCTGTAACTACCAATTTGTGCTTAATCATGTCACCTCTTTCGCCCAAAGCCTTTTCAAAACAGGACCGACCAGGCCCTGCGTGATCTGCCTCCCTTCCTGTTACTTTCGTGACCTCATCTCCTTCTGCTTTGTTCCTCATTCACTCATCCCAGCCGCTCTGGCCTCCTCCTTCCCTTCCCCTCCAGCCTCTGCCCTTGCTCTGTTGCCTGCCAGGAACATCCTTCCCCTGCGTGCCTGTGCCCGTGCCTTCGGCGGCTCCTTCCTTCAGGCCTTGCCTCAGTCTTCTCAAGGCCTTCCCCGTCCACCCTGCCTAAAATTTCACGCCCACCTCCCTTACTGCCTGACATTACATGTCTCTTTCCTGATTTATTTTTTTCCTTGGTGCCTATCTCTCACTGACATACTGGACGGATATTCTTTTTTTAAAGCCTGTTATTGTCTATTTCCTTACTTGAATGCAGGCTCTGGGAGGGTGAGGGTTTTTGTCCAGTGGCCACTCGAATGTTTGTGGAGTTGATAGATGTTCCAGGGAAATGGTCAGCTGTCATCAGGATCTTATTAAGAATCCTGGAACACCGCGTCAGTCAGTCAGAAGCAGCCTCGGAAATCCCTAAGACAGGCATTAGAGGAGGTCTGCATCGAAGAACTATTGAAATGAACACCAAGATGATATGCAAATGACTAGATCGCCCCATATTGTGAGCACAGTGCTCTGTGACTGTTAAGAAATCCAGAGCCCTAACCGGTTTGGCTCAGTGGATAGAGTGTCAGCCTGCGGACTGAAAGGTCCCGGATTTGATTCCGGTCAAGGGCATGTACCTTGGTTGCGGACACATCCCCAGTAGGAGCTGTGCAGGAGGCAGCCGATCAATGATTCTCTCTCATCATTGATGTTTCTATCTCTCTATCCCTCTATCTTCCTCTTTGAAATCAATCAATATATATATATATATATATATATATATATATATATCCAGAGATAAAGTTCTGAGTTGAACTGGGAAAGGCTGTCTGTGATTTTCAGGAGAGATGAAGGATCACCGACTCCCGCTCCCAGGCAGCACGCTGCCTAGCAATGGATAGACAAAGCGGTAGGTCCATGCTTGTAACATCTAACAACTGGAACATTCTCACAGTCTCACAGTCAGGATTGTAAATGTCAGAATGAATTACATACTGTCCTAACCTAGTGTTGCAGCTCAAGATAAGACACCTCTGAAATGGTGCTTACCACAGCAGCTCCGGAATCCGGGGGGATTACCCGTGAAGATAATGAACTGAAGAAGGGGGCCAGTGGGAAATTTAGGAAAGAATGAAACAGAATTTCAAATTTCAGAATTGATAGGGCCAAAATTAAACAAGATTATACATGCTAAGTTGGTATTACAATGTAGACAAACAGGGTCGTTTCGGGGCTGAATTTACTTGGTGCTTCATTTTAAGGGTTCAGCCTCTCACATATATTGGTTCAAAAAATTGGTGGATCTTTTGTTCACAGTAAAAGCCCACAAGAAAGAGATTAGTAAAATATTGCCTCATTAATTTTATACACCGCATATGGAAACCTAGCACTTAGAGGACATGTCCCACATTTTAACCTACAGCACTTTAATACAACCTAGGAATTTCTTTTCAAATTGTAAGAGAATGATTATTTAGGAAGTTACAGAGGTAGTAGAAGTGAGCCAGGTGGGCTGTGTGGGCTCAGGAAACAAGTTACAGAGGCAGGAGAAGGGCCCTTGGAGCTTAGGCGAGAGAAAGGCTAAAGTAAAAGGCCTGGGGGTGGGGGTGGGGAGCAGGGAGAGGAGGAAGGGGAAGACAGGGGTATTCTTCTGAGAGCCAGAGAGTACACCACAATCTAGTAACTTCTAAGTTTACCGTTTTTCAATAATCACGCATGCACACACACATGCACACGTAACATAAATACATATAGGTTGGCTGCTTTGTAACAGCATAAGGAGAAGTAGGCTAGGATTTCTTCGTAGCCAACTAATCTCTTCCTTGATTCTCTTTAAAGCTTTAATCCCAGAAAGTAGCCCTTCCCTGTTTCTGGTATCTTGTCTTCTTCGTAATCATCTGCTCCCAGGTTTTTCATTGTTGGATTCCGTTTCACCCTGAAGCCTACTGACTCCAAGATTTCGACCCAATGAATGAAACGTAGAGGCAGGCGCCTCTGGAGGGAGGGCTAGCTCTGCCTGCAGAATTGAGAAGCCCCCGCTTGTTGTCACTTGGGGCCCTGCGTTTTATAAGGTTCACTTCTACAGTCGGCCGTGCAGAAGGAGCCACTGGTCATTGTTCTAATCTGCAGCCACCCTGAAGGGCATGGTCTGCACATCAGGTGGAATATCTACAGACACCCACCCTGCCGTTGAACTTGGCCCGAGACCTATGAGTTGTACTGACGCGCCCATTACTTTCTCTCTGTCCCACCTTCTAGGTGCTCAGGTGACTATCACGGATCGAAAAGTAGCATTAGAATTTCTTAAATCAAATGTTGAAGCCAACTTACCTCTGCATATTCAACCCAGAGCCGTGGTTAAGGAGCTGACTTGGGGACAGAATTTGGGGAGCTTTTCACCTGGAGAGTTTGACCTGATACTTGGAGCTGATATCATATATTTAGAAGAAACATTCACGGACCTTCTGCAGACTTTGGCGCATCTCTGTGGCAGCCACTCCGTGATTCTTTTAGCTTGCCGAATCCGCTACGAGCGGGACAACAACTTCTTAGCCATGCTGGAGAGGCAATTTTCCGTGAGTAAGGTTCACTATGATCCTGAAAAAGATGTACATGTTTACAAAGCCCAGAAGAGAAACCAGAGGGAGGGCTTATAGTTGGCTGTAATTTATAGGAATGTTGTCATTAAATGTGTCAATTAAGGTGTTAGCAGGGGGAATCTAACCATGTTTAATGAAATGGCTTACTGTACAAAAAGTCTAACCAAAGGTTCTCGGGGAACAAACTGCAGTGATTTTATAGTCATATTTCACTCACTCCGAAACTCAATTAACATTAAGAGGAGTGTGAGCTTTGGTTCATGTTGTTTCTGTATCCCATATGCTCCCTCCTGATAAGCAGTTTTCACTGATACCACGAAGGGCTGGCGTATTGGCATCTTCAAAGCAGTGAGCTTGTTTTGCTTTAGTGAGAGGCTAAGTCATGCAAATAACTTTAAACACATTCTGAGATATATGTTTAGCCCATTTTTTTTCTAATTTTCTGAATATAAAACAAGTTTAACATACATTCCCTGAGCTGTTAATGCTTTCGAAACCTTTTGTCTGCCAGTTTCTGTCTTAAATAATTTTGGTGGTTTGAGATTGGGGTGCAAGTTTTCTACAGTCTCATAGCATGCTTTTTGGATTAATGTCAGATGTAGGTCTATGAACAAAGGAATCAGTAAAAAATAATGTTTTAGTTACTTTTGAAAGCATGTAAAATCTTGGACCTCCATGTGCTGTGACTAGGTTATCATCTTCATAAAGCAAAAGCCATAGCTTTTCCCTTCACCTTTCCCGTTTCTCAAATGTTTTTGTAGTTCTTTCTTAGGCTTTCCCTGCCTCCTCATAGTGCATAGGATGACAATGAAAGTTTTAAATCTCACCCCTGCATGAGAGTTTAGTCTCCAAGGACAAGTTCCTTCCGTAGCATACTTGTCATTGCTTGTTTGGATTCCCCGGAACACTGTACACTTCCTGAGGGCCAGGAATGCTTTTATTTTGCCTCCCTAGTGTCTAATAGTAAATTCGTTGAGTGAAAAAGATACATTCCATTTAGACAATATTGATCTTTGGGTTAAATGATTGCAATGTTGTTTCATGATTATCTTTGATAGACTTGATGAAAGAAGTCGCACACCCAGTATTGCCCTAGCTGGTTTGGCTCAGTGGATAGAGCGTTGGCCTGTGGGACTGAAGGGTCCCAGGTTTGATTCCTAGTCAGGCACATGCCCAGAGTGTTGGCTCAGTACCCAGTCAGAGGCATGTTGGAGGCAGCCGATCAGTGATTCTCATATTTGATGTTTCTCTCTCTCCCTCCCTTCCTCTTTAAAATCAATAAAAATATTTTTTAAAAAAAGGTGAATTAAAAGTTCTGAGCATTCTGTGGTGTATCAGTTCAACACAATTCTGATAGATGCCCAAGAAATAGAAATACCCATTGTTTGCCAAATCCATGAAATGCCAGTATTGTACATGAATGTGGTCTTTTACCCGCCCCCCCGCCCGAGTGCCAGGGAGCGCAATCCTGCTCCTCCTCTCGCCGAAAGTGGCGGGAGTGCTATCAAAGCTTTGAAATGGCGTCCAGTTCTAAGTCTGCTTTTATTAGTGATGATGATAAGTATGCCAATGTAGTAAAGGTTTCCTTAAGTTTTTGAATATATAACTTCATTTACTTGCGATTCATTTTTTTCCTAAACTGCTGTAAAATCAGCAAAAATGCCTTGGCAATTTTAGCATAGTTCCTAGGATATTGGTTGGCACTCAAAGGGTTAAAACAAGTAAAATAAGAGCCGTGCAGTATCAGCACTAACGAAAGGCCAGTCACATTCAGGCATGCTATTAGAAATCATTGTATTAACTGGAATTCAGCTTCTTTGCTTTAAAATTCCTAAACTTTGGCCTGCCTGGCATGGCTTAGTGGTTGAGCATTGACCTATAAACCAGAAGGTGAGGGTTCAATTCCTGGTCGGGGCATATGCCCAGGTTGTGGGCGTGATCCCCAATGTGGGCATGTAGGAGGCAGCTGATCAGTGATTCTCATCACTGATGTTTCTCTCTCTCGCTTTCTGAAATCAATAATATATACACATATATGTATCTATGTAGATACACACACACACACACACACACACTTTGAATGATATATGTAAAATGATTTGGGGTGGAGAGCTTCAAGATGCCTAGATGCTCTACCAAGAAAGCATTGATTGGGTTGTTTTACATTTTCATAAAGCATTATAAGCCCTGGCCAGGTAGCTCAGTTCATTCATGTCCGTTGTCCCTGTTAACATCACCCTTTCACTCTCAAAAATGTCTGACTGTATAAATTATGTGGTGGCCACTCTTTGTAGAAGAAAAAAAAAAAGTCAGATAATTCCTTTAATACAGTGGCAGGTGTAACAGGCTTCATAAACACATCGTGACAATTTAGAAGTACTTAGAATAAATGCAACTGCTGTTTTCAGAAATTGAATCAATAAATAGTATGAGTCTTTTATTCATATGCTTTAAGCAAGGAGCAGATTAAACACATTCCCTCCTTTCATATGATCACAGAACTTCAGAATTATAAGGGGACCTGAGAAGTTAGCAATTATTGTTCTTCCAATGCAAACATGCATTTTATGACATCAAAGATAGTTGGTCACACGTCTCCCATTGGTTGTCTCAATAGAGCAGTAACATCTCCGAATCTTCAAATAGGCACTGTTCAATCTTACTGAACAAAGACATCGTGTGGTAAAAATTAGACAGTAAAATTAACTGAAGATAAGTTCTTGTTGCTTGAATTAGTTTCCTGTTGCTCTGCAACACAAGCTTGTGATATATTCTAACGTAACTTTTGCTCATTTAACAAAAGTAACAAACATAAGTCCAAGAAAATATAGCTTAACACTACTAGCAAAAAACAAGATAGAGACCCCCCCATCCCCAAAAAAGAGACTCTGAGTTTTTAAAAGCATGTTTTATGTGACTGCACATAAATGTGTGTAAAAGGGCAATGACAGTTTTTACCACAAAGATTACAGTAAGAAAAAGGACTTTATGACAATATTTCACAAATTCACAAGGATCACTTTAATATACAAAGCAATGCTACCATTCTGAACACAAAGCAGCTATGTACATAGTGTTAATAAAATGCTTTATAATTCAGTACATTTTATTTCTTTACAGATAAAGCACAAAAAGATTTAAGTAAAAAAATTAAAACAGGGATGTTTCTAGAATGTAGGAAATTGTATTAGAAATGTATTTTCCTCATTATAGTTCTTTAGTATTCAACTCCAATAGCAAGATCAGAGTTGAAAATCAATACCCTGTTTTGTGCTGATAATTTTTGGGGGAGGTATTTGTTACCCCAGTCCTCAAAGGAAAACCAAAAAAACCAAACACTCTCTAGAAACTTCCCTGATTATTGTTTCTAAAAATTTTCAAGTGATACATCCAGGTTAGGATAATTCCTTTTTTGGGTGGGGATGATAACCAACATGTGGACAAATCAGTTAGGGACAACTTTACATTGGAAAACTGCTAACTAGCACTCTTCTTTGCCACCCCTAATCTATACTCACAGAAAAATGTTGACAAATTATTTCCCACTTTTAATATAAATAATTTTATTACACACACAAATTGGAGTGGCACCTGGATAAAAATACGCCTATAAAGTATTTACCAATTCAATTTTAAAAACGTAAGAAAATAAAACCTCCCAAACACAATGCTAGATCATTTCACTTGGCCAACTAATGTAAGATCGTATCTGCAGGGATTTTCTCCTGTCCTTACCAATTTTTCAACTACCTCAGATTTACTTTCACATCTCTGAAATGCTTCTCAGACAGAAGCTTGGAAATGCTATACTTCTGTAGGCAAGCATTAAATAATGCCTGTATAAAGTCGGTAACTTTCGACTTTTCTACTGCTTGACCCTTTGCAGACATTTTCTGAAGAAGACTGTTCCTTTTCCTTTTCCTTGCTGGTGAGAATTAAAAATGTATCGTTATACCAAGCTAGGACCTGCACCCACAGTACCAGAATGCAGACAGGTCAATATTTTCTCTGTGCTAAACAACTCTGCCTGTTTTATAATATCAATTTTGCTTCACAGGCTTTGTTCTATTACCCCCCCCCCCATTTTTATTTTTTTAAAAAATAAATTTCAAGCTAAAACACCTGAAATATAATCCCTCCATTCAAACGTTATCTGGTCCCTCTTGAAGTCTGCCCCTGAGGACACAGACAAAGGCTTTAGCTACATTCACTAATCAGTAAGAACTTACCGTGAGCCTGAGACAGATGGAACTGCAGCACCCTGTTTGATTTATTTTAAATTCTTCCATACTGACTCAGCTTCAGGATATGTTCAACCCCACAGGGATTAGTGCCTCTCTTAGCCAATGATTCTAGAAAGTCAAGGAAACCAGTTCCTAGTACATACAGTGACTGTGCAGTCAACTTAAAAAAGTCAACACATCAACATTAAAAGTATTCAAGATGTATGAAGTCACTTCAAGTAAGCCACTCACAAGTTCTGGTTGTGCTTTGTACAACGGAGTGAGCAAATTTTATCCCACAGCTCTTCATCTAAAGCAGTGGTTCTCAACCTTCCTGATGCCGCGACCCTTTAATACAGCTCCTCATGTTGTGGTGACCCCCAATTTCACTGTTACAAATTGAACATAATTAAAGCATAGTGATTAATCACAAAAACAATATGTAATTATACATGTGTTTTCCGATGGTCTTAGGCGACCCCTGTGAACGGGTCGTTCGACCCCCAAAGGGGTCGCGACCCACAGGTTGAGAACCGCTGATCTAAAGGCTTACTAAGCACACTTCTTTCTCCCTCCTCATCTGAAATCAAATTTAGGCAGCATCTCTTTGATGTTAACCAGGCCAATTTTAAGAGAAATAAATTTACTCAAATGATTACATGTGGTCTCCACTATGACAATAATTGCCTTGAAAATTCTTTTACCATTCTGAACAAATCCATGGATATCTTGGCATCCTATAAATAGTATTAATGTTGGGGTGAGGATAAGACACTCATTTAAAATTGGAAATATTTATTCACTTGAGTTGCTTTTCTTTCTACCTTTATCCAAGATGAAACCGAATAAGGGTTCAGGCTGCATCTTCTAATTAATGGGGCTAGATCTAATTTACTGGTATTTTTCTTTTACAACTATAAGGCTAGACTGTAGGTGCTACAATATTTTAATCAATGAAAAGTTTTCATTTAAAAAAAGTCCCATTATTTGAAGAAAGGAGAAACACATAAAAAGTCAGTTGACAATTAATTGATGAGGGAATTTCTCAAGTTGATAATACCCAAACCGGGTAATTTTTAAAAGTGCAAGTTACACCAAACATTTACAAAGAATATAATGTAAATATAATCCAAACAAATATACAACTTTTGTATTAAATCAATGGGAAACAATATACCAACAGTCTTCAGGGCTACAAAGGCAATAAAATAAAGCCTCTTGAAAATAACTAAAAATGTATATAGTCACTTTCTAAAACACACTTTAATGAAAAAAATCTTTAAGATATAAGCTTTATTTAATCCTGCAAAATGAAGCAGCCTTTTTTATCTTCAAAATAAAGAGACGAATTTATGCTGACTGTAGCTGATCACAGAATTTAAAACAATAAAAATGAAAAGAAGAAGTCTAGATTGAAGTCACTTCAAGTAAGTAAAAGCATCCTGGTTTAAACAAACTTGTTTCTTCCCAAGCCTTTGTATGATTCCACATGTCACCCAAATGGTCAAAATGATAGTAGGGATTAGGCCTGAGAGCCAGAGATAAACTTCAGCCAGATGACTTCTGATTGGACAGCCTGCCTGGCTGGCATTGTGCTTTCAGATACTAGCACTGCTACTGACCTTCCATCAAAATACACATCCTGACAAATCCCTGCTCAAATGAAAAGACCAAAACTCCTCCCCCAGGATGATTTCTGAAATAGGAGCGGTACCTCCTAGAAGCTATCTTTAAATGTTCTTACCACTGTTGTAGCTGCCAGAGACAAAGAGAAAAACCAAATACTCTGGGGTGGAGGGAGTTTTCAAGTGACTAGTAACATGTTTAAAAGTATCAAGCCAAAGAAAACGAACAATAATAATAATTAAAAATAAAAACACTTGGAAGAAAATTAGAAGACAAAAATCAATCATGAGTGCTGGAGTAATGCAGTCCAAGAAACTACCAAAAGGTATGCAATAGAACACGCAAAAATGTAAAATTTCATCTAATTTCAATATACTATAATACTCGGCATTCCTGACTTAAGAGCTCTCAGAGCTTCAGATTATATACTGTATGTATATATATATATATATATGTACACATATATCATACAAATGCCATTCCCCCCCAAGAATATCTAAAGAACACAGCACCCATGACAGTATTATGGTTGCCAATATGGTACTTGAGTTTGAAAAAAATGAACTTAAAATTACATCTGATATCAATTTTTTAATGTGAACACATTGGATCTAGCCCTTTCTAAACCACTTTTCAGTTAAACACTATCAAAGCTTGAAAACTAATAAGAGTAATATCAAAAATAAACCCATCCACTTCATCTCTATTCATCTGTCCTATAGATAAAAGTGCCACATGGCCCTATGTTTGCAAAGTGATACCAAACTATTTTCTAGGCAAATCAGTAGCATATGTACAAATTCCTATGATAACATTTTCATTCCCTTTTGGCCAATATGAAGAGAAAAAAACAATTATTACTGGTAACATGGCCATTTATGTTCTTGGCTACAATATTTTTTTTCATTATGTCATTTTCTTAATAAAAATTCTCAAAGTTGCATGCATAAAAACTAACCTTTCCCCCAATTCTTGTTTAAAAAAAAAAAAAAAAAGGTCTGCACAAAAGATGCCTAATTTCTATAAACTGAAATCTTCAAGTCTCTCCAAGGGTCTAAAACAGATTTAGCAACAGAATACATTTGTTATCTCACCATTTAAGTAACTTAACTTCAAACCAGTGCTATCATCCTCAAGGTATAAAGGACCTGCTCTTTATAACTTAAAAATCCAACCAGTTAATATGGAAGTGATTGCCTTGATTCATCAGGGACTAAGAGGACCACCAAATTTCTTATTAAATAGAAAGCCCTAACTTTTGAAAAATGTGTGACTTTCATTTATAACTTGCTAAATACTAGGCAATTTTCATTTATAAAGCTTATGACATTCAAGATGTTCACTTTGACTAATTACGAAAGAATTCTAGTTGGTGAACAAATTTGTGATTTTGCTTGGTTTCTGTTAAACCAGTTTTGAAAAATGACATCTCTATACTGGTATACAAATAATTTTTATACTATAACATTCCCCAATAGCTCAGCAGGATAAACATCAATCTTTACAGTTGTTTGAAAGCCTTGTTGAGCATCTGGTATATTGTCCAAATATACTACATCACTCAATTCTTAGAATGATGCTCCTTCATAAACTCTGTTCATCCTTGAAAAAAGGCAGTGGTTTGTTACAAACAGAAATATACCTTTTACAAATATTAATTAAAAATTTTTCTTTAAAAAAAATTGACCCAATAATTAACACCCATCTGCATATTTTAACACATTAACAAAGTAAACTTTAAAAAATAACCCATAACTAAACATAAAATATTAATTTTCTTGACTCTCTTCTAAAAGAAATAACCTTCTCAAATGAGAAATGATATCTAACATTATGTCAGTCTCCAATTTTTAAAATCCACCTTAGTTTTATTTTTCTTTTATTAGTCTTATTTTTCTATTAAAGAATAATTTTTAGATTTATCAGGCTTAGTGATAAAATGAATAATTAACAAAAAGTATTGGAAACAACGTATGGTACATATAAGCACAGACTGTTCCAGTCAGGAGTTAAAAAAGGCATCTCCTTTATAGAATGACAAAGACTAGACTAGTATAGCATACTGGAAACTGAAAGCATAATTATCCTTTTTAGAAGAAGAAAAATACTTAGTAAGAATGATAATCTAAATGTTGTAGAGTACAGCAGTCATTCAAACATGTCTGAAGAAAATTACCTCCCTTGTCACATCTAATAGTGTACTTGTCAGAGCTATATTCTTACAACTTCATTAAAAAAATTCAGTAGAGATATTCCGTTAAAGTATGTTAATACGGGAAAGATTTAAAATAAGTATTTTCCTACAACACATTTTATAAACAAACATATCACTTTGCTTTACTTAACATTGTGAAGGCTTTCCTATTGGTGGTATAATGTAAGTGCAAATGAGAACAGTTTCATTAGAAATTGTTTTTAAGTAAATGAGTGACAATATAAATATTTTTGAAGGTGATGACAAAAACATTTATTTAAAAACCTTGCTATATAACTCAGAGGGCTGGTTTGAGTAGAGCATCTTTTTACTAAGAATTTAGTACTAACTAAAACAAAATTTGTACTTACATTTATTTCAATTTAATTTAAAATTAAAATACCATGCCTTTTCATTCAGTTGGTTACTTCTTTTAATGTATTCAAAAATGCTGAACACATACAGAACTAAATTAAGAAGCAACAACTGCCCTACGGGAGAGCTGTAGTTAATACAGAATGTTTTTAAGAATCAAGGACGTTTTCAGTATTGAAGAAATTGTACATAGAAAGCACTCCAAATTCATTCTTACTTTCTTCAACACCATTCTTTAAAAGGTATTTCTTTTAATGATTTTACATAATTCACAATGAAAATGTGGAAACGTCAAATTGGCAATCACTTCTTCATTGCACCTTACTTACTTTGTGCATGTGGCCCACACATTACTTCAGCTCAAGAGACTGGGGTAATTCTGTCCCTAAGGCAATCAAGGCGCTCAGCACAAACCTTGAAATCATTAAAAAAAATTTCTTTTCCTCATTTCCCCCATCAATTTACAAGTCAATCAATTATTACTTCTTAAGGAGGATGGGGGATGAACTCCAGAAGTCTCTTCATGATTCCTGGTGCTGAAAACTTCTTGAAGGGAGAAGTGGAGGCAGGAGTTGGAACATTCACAGTTTAATGCAAAAGCACAAATGAATGAAATTCTGTAGTTGCTTTCAGGCAGTTTTGCGCATAGAAAAAAAGAAATGTTTAGAAAATAAAATGTTTACTTTGTCTTTCTGGTTATGGCCAAGCCAGTTCTTTGTCCAATGTAACAGGTGAGATTTAAATCCCAAATTAATCTGATTTGTGGCAGTAAAGGTCCTTAAGTGCTTTTAGCTCCTCAATCAGTGTCTTGTTTTGGTTTTCAAGCACTGCCACTCTGTTTTCTAAACACTTCACATATTCTTTCTTCTTTCTGCGACACTCTCGTGCTGCTTCCCTATAAGCAAAAAGGGAAATATTATGTAACATTTCTATATCACTTACTTTGGGTTGGGATACATTTCTTTTTAGTGAGTTAGCTCACATCATTTTAAATTTAGCATTTGAAAGAAATACAGAATGAATTGGAAATTGCCTTATACAAACATTTAATTTTAATATACCACAGAAGTTTGATTCAAAAAACCCCAAATGTGAAAACTCCACAACCAAAAGGGCTTAACAATCACTTAAAAATTACCTTTTTAAAATGTTTATTAAAATGTTCTGCATCATACCTATAAAACTTGAAATTCTATCAATATCAGTAACTAAGAAATGATTAAGGCAAATTTTAGTGTGAAAAATCATCCTTTAAATCAGGGGTGGGGAACCTTTTTCTGCCAAGGGCCATTTAGATATTTATAACATCATTCGCAGGCCATACAGAATTATCAACTTACAAATCAGCCTGCTCTATTTGGTCAAATAATTAACTCACCCCTAATGCCTTGGCAGGGCCAGACCAAATGATTTCATTGGCCTTATATGGCCCGCAGGCTGGATATTCCCCATCCCTGCTTTGAATAGAAAGATCTCACAAACTCTCTATTTCAAGGCATTTTTAAAAATCTAACACAAGTCTCTTCAACAAATGATGTTGAGAAAACACACAAAAGAAGACAGTTGGACCCTTATACCATATACAAAATTTAAATAAAAATGGATTAAAGAGCTAAACACCAAGACATAAAACTATAAAACTTCTAGAAGAAAACAGTGGAAAAGCTTTAAGTCAACTGGTTTAGGCAGTGATTTCTTGGCTATGTCACCAAAAGCACAGGCAACAAAGTAAAAGTAAATATGAAAGCAAATATGAAAATGTGACAACATCAAACTTAAAAACTTCTGCACAGAACACAATGAACAGAGTAAAAGACCTACCTATAGAACAGGGGAATGTTTGCAAGTCATATATTTGATAAGGAGTTAATATTCAGAAAATACAAAGGACACCCACAACTCAACAACAAAATAACCTGATTAAAAAATTGGCAAAGGACTTGAATAAATATGTATCCAAAGATATACAAATGGCCAGCAAAAGCATATAAAAAATGCTCAATATCAATCTAATCATTACAGAAATGCAAATCAAAACTACAATGAGGAATACCCTTCACAGCCATTAGGACAACTAGAAAAAACAAAAACCCCAAAAGCAAATAAGATTTGATGGGGATGTGAAGAAACTTGAAAACTTGTGTACTGTTGGTAAGAAGGTAAGATAATGCAGCCAGTATAGAAAACACTATGGCAAATCCTCAAAAAATTAAAAATAGAATTATCATATGGCTCAGCAATCCCACTTTGGGGAATATATCCAAAAGAATTTAGAGAAGAATACTGAAGAGATATTTGCACACCCATGTTCCTAGCAGCATTATTCACCATAGCCAAGAGATAGAAGGAAAGCAACCCAAATATCGATTCACAGATGAACACATTTTTAAAATGTGGTGTATATAAAAACAACGGAATATTATTCAGCCTTAGAAATGAAGGAAATCCTGTCACACACGACAACATGATGAATCCTGAGGACATTGTGCTAAGTAAAATAAGCAGTCACAGACAAATACTTCATGACTGCACTTCTATGAAGTATCTAGAGTAGTCAAACTCATAAAAACAGAAAGGAGAATGGGGACTGCCAAGGACTAGAGGAGGGGGAAATGAGGGAAGTTGTTTATTATGAAGTATAACTTTTGCAAGATGAAAAAGTTCTGGAAGTCTGTTGCACAATAATGTGCATATACTTAACACTATTGAGCCTGTATACTTAAAAATGGTTAAGATGGCAAATTTTATATTTTACCACAATTAAAAATAAATTTTTTAAAAAATCTAACAGATTAAAAGTAATAAATATTTTTTAGCAAGCTATAAGTCACTAGCCTGTGAATATGTTTTCTGACATGGTAAAGGGGAATTATGGTTGCACAGGATTAAGGTTGTTAATCAGCTGATCTTAAAATAGGAAAATTATCTTGGATTATTATCTGACTGGAGCCAATGTAATCTGAAAAGTCTCTAAAAATGGGAGAGGCAGAAGATCCTATATAATAAAGAGGCAATATGCAAATTGACCATCACTCCAACACACAAGATGGCCACCCCCATGTGGACACAAGATGGCCAGCAGGGGAGGGCAGTTGGGAGGGACCAGGCCTGCAAGAGGGGGACAGTTATGGGCAATCAGGCCAGCAGGGGAGGACAGTTGGGGGCAACCAGGCCTTCAAGGGAGGACAGTTGCGGGGGAGACCAGGCCTTCAGGGGAGGGCAATTGGGAGGGACCAGGCCTGCAGGGGAGGGCAGTTGGGGGTGACCAGCCTGCAGGGGAGCAGTTAGGAGCAATTGGGCCGGCAGGGGAGCAGTTAGAGGTCGATCAGGCTGGCAGGGGAGTGGTTAGGGGGTGATCAGGCAGGCAGGCAGAAGCGTTACCCGTTTAGGCCCGATCCCACTGGGTTTGGGCCTAAACGGGCAGTCGGACATCCCTCGAGGGGTCCCAGATTGGAGAGGGTGCAGGCTGGGTTGAGGGACAACCCTCCCCCCACACACACACAAATTTCATGCACCGGGCCTCGAGTATGACTATAAAAGAAAGACACAGCAAGATGCTACACTGATGACTTTGAAGACGGAGAAGGAGCCATGAGCCAAGGAATGTTAGGTAGCCACTAGAAGCTGGAAGGGCAAGAAGACACTCTCTCCTGGAATCTCCAGAAAGGAACAAAGTCCTGTATGCTAGATAATGGAGTATATATTGTGTTCATAGAATGAAAGAATCAGTATTGTTAAGATGCTCCTCAATTTGACCTATAAACTCAACATAATCCTCATAAAAATCTCAGCAAACTTTCTTATAGACATCAACAAACTGATTCTAAAATTTATATGAAAATGCAAAGGAACCAGAATGGCTAAAACAATTCTATAAGAAAGGATATATGCACCCCTATGTTCATAGCAGCACAATTGACCATAGCTAAGATCTGGAAACAGCCTAAGTGCCCATCAGATGAGTGGATTGAAAAACTATGGTACATCTACACAATGGGATACTATGCTGTGGTAAAAAAGTAGTTCTTACCATTTGCAACAGCATGGATGGAACTGGAGAGCATTATGCTAAGTGAAATAAGCCAGTCAGAGAAAGATAAATATCACATGATCTCACTCATTTATGGAATATAATGAACACATAAAATGATGAACAAAAACAGATCCAGAGACAGAGAATCATCAATCAGAATGTTAAACCTCAGAGGGAAGGTAGGGGAGGGTGAGGGTAAGGGGGAGAGATCAACCAAAGGACTTGTATGCATGCATATAGGCCTAACCAATGGATACAGACAACAGGGGGGTGAGGGCATGAGTGTGTGTGTGTGTGTGGGGGGGGGGGTAATGGGGGAATAAGGACACATATGTAATACCTTAATCAATAAAGTAAAAAAAAAAAATTCTATAAAAGAACCAAGTTGGAGGATTCACATTATCAAATTCAAAACTTACTAATAGTAATCCAGACAGCATGATATTGATGAAAGGGGAGACACAAACCAATGAAAAAAGCTAGATAGTCCAGAAATAGACTCACACAAATACAGTCAGTTAATTTTTGGCAAAAGTGCAATGACAATAGAGAAAGGATAGTCTGTAACAAATGGTGCTAGATAAATGGGTGTCCACATACAGAAAATGAAACTTGACACACCTCACACCTCATACAAAAGTTAACTCAAAAGGGATCATAGGCCTAAATGTAAAACAATTTCACACTTGCCCTGACCGGTTTGGCTCAGTGGATAGAGCATTGGCCTACGGACTGAAAGGTCCCAGGTTCGATTCCAGTCAAGGGCATGTACCTTGGTTGTGGGCACATCCCCAGTGGGAGGTGTGCAGGAGGCAGCTGATCGATGTTTCTCTCTCATTGATGTTTCTAACTATCCATCTCCCTTCCTCTCTGTAAAAAAATCAATAAAATATATTTAAAAACAAAACAAAACAATTTCACACTTGATATAGAGCAATTGGATCTCATATATTGTTGGTGGGAATGCAAAATGGTACGGCCATTCTGGAAAACAGTTTGGCTGTTTTCTTATAAAGTTAAATATATACTTACTATTCCACTCAGCCAGACCACTCCTAGATATGTACTCAAGTGAGTTGAAAGTTCATATAAAACGTGTACATAAGTATTTATAGTAACTTTATTCATAATCCTCCAAAGCTGGAAACAACTAATATGAACTTCAGGGTAAACCACAGTACATACATACAATGAAATATCAGAGATAAAACCAATTATTGATTCATGCAACACAGTTAATGGATCTTAAATGTATTTTGCTAAGTGAAAAAAGCCAGATCCAAAAGGCTACATACTGTGTGATTCCATTTATGTTAGATTCTGGAATATGCAACCCTGGGTGGGCTGTGGGTTCCTGTTTTATAACAGAAAACTGAGGTTTAAAAGGTTAATATATTCTTCCAAAATCACAGTAAAAGGGATAGATATAGGACTTGAATCCAGATCTTTGATGTTCAATCTGTGTTTCTTTCAATTTATTCACAGTGTTGATGATTCTTGGGGTGAACAGCAGAGACATATTTTCACCAATTTATAACTTCTTATATCTTTATATACCTCATTTTCATTTTATTAATATTAAAGTCCTAAGGTACATATAAGCAAATAAAAGTATTTTGTTTTTTAATGACAAAATCATTTGCAGCTATGAATTTACTTTATGATAGGTAGCATTTTAATTGTTGATGACTAATTCTATTTTAAGATTTTGTCAATTACAAGGTATTCTTAGACAATCTATTCTCAAAGAATATTTCAGTATTAAACTATTACTATTTTGAGTAAAGGTAATAGTCATTAAGACACAGATTAGCCACAGTGGTCTGTGCATACTGCAGAATAGTAGTACCCGGCTGAGTGGCGGCTGCATTGGTCATGGTTAATGTTTGCAGGCCCTGTACGCCATTGGTACCATTGTTAGCCAGTTGTATTGCTCCTCCCTGGGTAATGGCAACTATATTACAAATGAATTTAACATTTAATTTTCATACATGAAATTCTTGATCTTGAAATATACTACTCATGAAAATAAACCAATTTTTTAAAAAAATATATTTTTATTGATTTTAGAGAGGAAGGGAGGGGAAAGGATAGCTAGAAACATCAATGATGAGAGAGAATCATTGATCAGTTGCCTCCTGCACACCCCCTATTGGGGGTCGAGCCATAACCCAAGCATGTGCCCTTGACCGGAATTGAACCCGGGACGCTTCAGTCCCCGGGCTGATGCTCTATCCACTGAGGCGAACCAGCTAGGGCAAAAACAAACAATTTTTAAATAAATTAGCCAGTTGATTAAAGCATAATGAATATATAGCAAATTGTGCACTACACCTTTCATGGGGAAACTGCATGAAAGAAAACTACTTTATGATCAAAGATTAATCCATAATACTGTTAGCCATTTTGTAAGTGCAGCTTATTAAATAAAGAAGTTTTAGCAAGATCCATCAATTCCACCAGAAAAAAATTCAGCACAAATATCCTATTGTCAACAGATATAAAAGACACACATCTAGAAGAATGTGAAGACATAGCAGACTTACAACAGTCTCAGTAAAATACAACATATGTACCTGTTCTTCATTAGACGAACCTCTCTCTTTCGTGCAGCTTCTTCAGCAGGCTGTGTAGGAAGCGCTGGAGAGGATGCCATAACAACTCCAGGGGCGATGGTGCTAGTGGGTGCTGTGCGAATCTGGTATGTTTGTACATCTCCAGAGGCCGCTGGAAAGAAAACCGGTGAATATGATGTATGACACTGAAGCACTGTGGCCTGGTAAAACTAGATATGCAATCATCAATCTAAACATACATTTTGGATTAAAAGGGGGGGGGGGACAGATGATTCTGACTAAAATGGTGAAAGAATCAGCATTACTGAGAATTACTGAGAAATAATTCCCAAATTAATGTATTTATTAGTATAGACCCTTGGGGGAAAGAGGTCTTAACCTATGTCTGCTGGGTTTTTAATTTATATTTCATTGGAATGCAGTTCTATTCTGTTGTTAACATGCTTACCAACCTTAAGTCTAAAAGGTAAGCAGGGCACAGCTTGGTTCATCTTCCTAGATAAAGTCCTCAATGTCTTCCTTTGATATTGGTAAATTCATATTAAAAAATTTCAAGTAGACTCTTGCCACGACATAAAAACGACCATGATTTTTCATCAAATGGCAAAATAGAAGAAAAAATAAAGCATTATGGTCAACTATTATAAATTTCTAATTGACACAAAACTAAGTATGAAAAAGTATACCAAATGATGACAATTATATCATCTGTAAACATTGTTTAATGTATTAGTTATTCTTCTAACTAAATGATCTACTACTTGTGAAAAGAAATACAATCACTACTGGTCAAACTGCTTCTAAAAACAGCTTAATAATATGCCCTCCGAAGAATAAGGAACCTAACATTATCTGAGAGAATTTGAAGATCTTTATAAAATTATCCATATTTGTTAATATCAATTAAAATGTGTAGTTTGAGTGGAAAAGATTTATATACTAAACATGTTACCATCTTCAAACTGACGTTCAGAATTCAAATTCACTGACATCCTGCTTTACAATTTTTGAGTACCTGCATGTAAAGTGAAAAGGTGTTTTACTCCCATTAACAAGCAAAGTATTATCTTCTTCAAATATTATTTTTTAGTAATTAAGTAAATTATGACTCTCTCTAGTTGATGTTTTAGAATTATTCAAAAATTGTCTTCCATGATGAGGGGATGGGGCACAACTGTCATTACCTAACAGAGGCAAAACATATTATTAATAACATTTTTAGAAACATTTTTTATTTCCTCAATATGCAAATTTTCAATCTGGTATAAACCATATATTAAAATAGTCAAATAGTTTAAAAGAAAAATGATCAACTCTTCTCCATAAAGATTCCCGAAACAAATTGGAAAAAACAAAACAAAATTAAATTAAACAGAAAAAAAGCTATTTCTATAATTCATCAAGGATTTAACTACTACTTTTCTACACAGACCAGCGGAGTTACATACTGGTATAAGCTTTTTCAGAATACAGTGCTTTTCATTAGAAATATAAAAAGGATGATCTTAGAAATGAGAATGTAAATTTCTTTTGAATAAAACAGCAGAGAAACAAAAATTTGAATCTCCAGTTTCTTATCAGTACAACTTTCTCATTTGACACATGAAAAAAAATGAGGCCCAGAGAAAGTGAGTCTTATTCAAGGTCACATAGCAAATCTATGCAGAATCTAAGCTAGAATCTAGCTTTCCTAACTCACAATTTCATTGTCTTTCCATTTAACCTACCCTGTTTCTCCTATCCCCAAATTCTAGGTGTTAAAAATAGAAGTTGTATTTTTAAAACTGAAAATAGTTGTTTTTATGCCATGACATTGTGGTCTAATTAGAATAATGGAAGAGTTAGTGGAAAATTTATTTATAATGAAGAAAAAATTTACATTTACAGTATTTTACAGTATCATACTTACTTTTTCTGAGTTTTAAAATTTCAACCTTTCAACGAATGTACCATACCTGTGAAATCTGAATTCACTTACCTTGAACAACAACTTGGTTGCTGGGCACTAAGATCTGCTGTCCATCAGTGGTCTGTGCATACTGCAGAATAGTAGTACCCGGCTGAGTGGCGGCTGCATTGGTCATGGTTAATGTTTGCAGGCCCTGTACGCCATCAGTACCATTGTTAGCCAGTTGTATTGCTCCTCCCTGGGTAATGGCAACTAAAATCCAATGAATTTTATTGTTACAAGTTTAATTAATACCATATAGGACTTTTACAACACACTAAATTCAAAGTAGAATAACTTGTGAGACATAAACTCGAAAAAATTATAACAGCAAATAACACTGGCAAGAAGGATTGGTACACTGAAGTACTTTTCTGCTTAGGAAACCCACAATCAATTTCTATAATATAAATGCACTCTCTGAACCACATTATAATTTATAATAATATTTGTTAATTTTTTAAAAAGTAGTTAAATGAGAAAATATTAAATTCCTTTTGAAGTTACTTGGTTTAGAGGAGGTACCATTTTGTGATCCATACTTCCTTTATTCTAGCACTAACTACCTAATATTCTAACTGTGCAGTATTTACTGTCTCACTAAATTTCTTGAGGGTAGGAAATATGGTTTTTCTTTTCTGCTTTCATATTTTTAGTACAATAATGGGCATGTAATAGGCACCCAAATGGTTGTCTTAATGTGTAATTAATAAAGTAGTTCAGTAGTACATTCTTTTCTCTAACTTGCTAGCAATGCACAACCATAACAAAAGTCCACTCAATCAAACAACATAATGTCCCATGGAACTTAATGATCACAGAGTCTCTCATGGATTTTAAAATCAGAGCTTAAGATCATCATCTAGAGAAAAAAAAACAAACGACTGCTATTTCTAAGTTACTTACCCAAACATTCTCATATAGAATTTTTTTTTTATTATTTACTAATTAACCACACATCATTCATCTGTTACAAAGTAATCACCTTTGGCTCATGCTACTAGATATTTCACTTTATTAAAAAAACTTGAGGCCTGATCCACGAAATTCGTGCAAGGGGCTCATGGCCGCGGCCACCTCTGCCTCAGCGGCTTCGTCCGGTCTAAGTAGCATATTACGCTTTTATTATTATAGATGAATTCACCTTTATGATAGAGTGCATAGATAAAGTTAATAAAAAGAAATAGATCATTATTTTATTTGGAAGAAGCAATCCTTTAGATGCCAGCATTGAGACAGATAGTTGGATCCTTTTCTAGACACTCTCCTTGTTTGAGTTCAAGTTTTCCAAAAAGTGACTAAAAGTTACAATATTACATATAAAATTGCATAACAAATTTTTAACTAAATAAGTCAACATGTCTGACTTAAGCACGTTACTTTTTGTGTGTTAGAAACGAATTAACTTGGGATTAACTGTCAGCTAGCTTTAGTAACTAATATACTGAGTCACCTGAATATGGAAATTGATTATTTACTGTTCAATCAAGAAATAATAAGTTAATGGCTTTCATCTGGTTTACAAATGATACTGTAGAAATTAAGATACTGGCAAATACAGTCCATTCACTTTAGCTAATTCTGTAAGTTTTACTTATTTTTGACAATGATAAAAAAAAGGGATATGTAAGAAATATTCTGAGATTAATACTGCAAGATAACTTGAAAGAACCAGAAGGTTAAGAGAATCAAACCACAATTTTTCATATAGAGTTAATAAGCAGATTCTATTGTATTTAACACATACAGCTTTCATGGCTACCTACCAATGAACTCAAGGTGGGAGAAAGAAGTAGAAAACTAGACATCAGGAGATCTGGGGTCTAGTCCAACTTCCATCACTAAACTGTTACTTGAATCTGTTATCTCTTCTGTAAAAATAAAAATATCTGGTTCTAGCCACTAAGGTACAATTGTTGTAAAAAATCAAATGAGATAATGTATATGAAAGTACTCTGAAAACTGAAGTCTGATTCTACCAAACATGGTTTTTCTCAATATTTATTATATAATAATTATTTCTTGATTATTCCAAAAGGATTTTAGATAGCTTTCAATAAAACTAAGTTCATTAAAACAAGAAGAAAAAGATAGAAGTCAAGTGACTGATGTGTCTCTAGGTGTATGTAATAACCTTACCAGAAAATCTAGATAGAAAGAATGTAATTAAACATAAACTTAGCTGAGATTCTCAGTAGCCAAAATAAACAGGAAAACATTATGTGTTATAGTTTTGCTCAATGAAACAAAAAATTCAAGTTCAAAATGATAGACACATGTTTTCTAACTAAAAATAGAATCTTTCAAACAAGACTTTATAAACAGAGACAGTGAATCAAGTATGAATAAAATTAGTAACCGTATTAATAAAAACCATAACCAATTTATGGAACAAAAATTGGTGCAGCCACTGAAAAGGGCAACTGGGAAGGATATGATTTGATTCAACAAGTCTACTCTCTGGATGCTACTTTACCGAGACATTACTACATATATAAGAATGTTCAGCCCTGACTGGTTTGGCTCAGTGGATAAAGCGTCAGCCTGCGGACTGAAAGGTCCCAGGTTGGATTCCGGTCAAGGGCATGTACCTGGGTTGTGGGCACATCCCCGTGGGAGGTGTGTAGGAGGCAGCTGATCGATGTTTCTCTCTCATCGATGTTTCTAACTCTCTATCCCTCTCCCTTCCTCTCTGTAAAAAATCAATAAAATATATTTTTTAAAAAAAGAATGTTCATGTAGCATTATTCGAAACAATAGAGATGTTCTGTATGTTCATCAGTATGTGTGTGTGGGAGACTGTTGAAATGTTCTACTTATACAATAAAAAACGATATAGCTGTTAAAGACATAATACACAAACCCTATGTATATATTGTCTATATAAATAATGTAGGTCTCACTTGTATAAAAATACATGGTAACATGTGTCTGTATAAATAGAAGGAAAAAGAATGAAAGAATATATACCAAATTCTTACTATTGGGAAGGGATGAAAAAGAATTTTACTTTTTATTAATACTACTAGAGGCCCGGTGCACGAAATTCGTGGGGGGGGGGGGGGGGAGTGTGTGTCCCCTCAGCCCAGCCTGCACCCTCTCCAATCTGGGACCCCTTGGGGTATGTCCGACTGCAGGATCGGGCCTAAACCGGCAGTCGGACATCCCTCTCACAATCCTGGACCGCTGGCTTCTAATCGCTCACCTGCCTGTCTGGTCACCCCTAACTATCCCCTGCTGCCAGCCAGGTTGCCCCCAACTGCCCCTCCCGCCCCCCCACACCAACCTGGTTGCCCCACACAGCCTGCTCCCTGCTGGCCTGGTCATAGGCAGCCATCTTGTGAGGGTGTGAAGGTTAATTTGCATATTATCGCTTTATTATATAGGATGAACCTATACCACTTGAATTTTCACAACCATTAATTTGTTATACAGTGGGGCCTTGACTTACGAGTGTCCCGACTAACGACTTTTTTGAGATACCAGCTGTCTCTCGACCGATTTTTTGCATTGAGTTGATAGAGTAATTTGAGTTAATGAGCTCCTTAATAAGCTCCTTAACAAGCTCGGTCTCAGAACGAATTAAACTCGCAAGTCAAGGCCCCATTGTATAAGAAATATATAAATGTTGTATATGTATAAGGAGGCATTATATGGGTTCTTAATGACAATCAAGAACATAACATTAAATCAGTTCCATCAAGGCCATGTGTATACACTCAGAATAAGAGAGAAAGATAATGATTAAGATTTTAAAATCTCAAATTATTAACCTTTTAAAACTAGTACTCTCCTCAGTTGCTGGAGGAGAGCAGTTTGCCAAATTAAACATGGACTTTTCTGAACTTTGCTTTCCTATTTGAGATTCTGATCTGCCTCTTTCCTAAAGAGCATGCTTCCTAGTTCAAGTCAGATGCTCCACTAAGTGCATCACTGTCACTAATAGAAGCATGCTATCTCCCCGAGGCGTGCTCAAGCAGGAGAAAAATAAAGGTCATGTATCTATGTCTTAGTATACACATCTTTAATAACACAAATTATCTGGTTATAAGGTTAAAAAATACACATGTACAAGTACTTAGATAGTACCTGTTTATCTCTGCCAACAAAGAACTTAAGGAGGAAAAAGATAACTGAACTCTATTAAATTTACAGAGTGGACAAGAAGCTTAGTAAAAAATGCCTTCCTTCTACTTACTATGAAAAGTTTCAGCTTTGAGAGAGCTAAAAAGTCTGCTACTTGCAAATTTGTTGTTAATCCAGCTGAAATGCAAACCAAGTTTGAGTTATAACTGGAAAACTATTAACTTGGGAGTCAAACTTTTATACATATTCCTGACATAGGCTTCCCCAGGGCATTAGAAAACTAACGCAGGAAAGGAGTTTCAAGGTGTGCATTTACTTTATAACTAAGGAAGGGATGGGAGAAAACAATGGGCAGTACTGAAGTTAATGAACAAATCAAAAGGAAAATATCATGAATATGAGGCACTTTGGGAGACAAAAAGATATTAGGAAAAGAGAACAAAAAGTACCACTCACACAAATGCCTTTGATCAAACAAAAGCAGAACTCAAAAGTACTTTATAAAAGATTTAGGTGAAAGATAGGTATTATAACAGAAATGGAAACTTTGAATTTTGCTAAAGACATCTTTGCTTTCTATAAGCCAAAAAGGATATAATTCAGCAGTCCTTATGCTTTCATTATTATAATTCACAACACTACCTTTCATATTAAAAGGAATAATAGCCCCGCTGCAGTGGCTCAGTGGTTGAGCGCCAACCTATGAGCCAGGTCACAGTTTGGTTCGATTCCATTCATGGGACAAGCCTAGGTTGTGGGCTCGATCCCCTGTAGGGGGGATGCAGGAGGCAGCTGATCAGTGAATCTCTCTCATCATTGATGTTTCTATCTCTCCCTCTTTCTTTCTCTCTGAAATCAATAAAAATATATTTTTTAAAAAAATTAAAAACCTGAAGTAGTGGTTCAAAAAACTTCTAAGACTCTCCATGCATCAGCATAAAACATAGGGCCATCTAAAGGGCTTACATACTTGAGCAATCCAAATTAAAAACCTGAAGAAAAGAAAATACTGCCATTACAGAACTGTGCATATTGAACAGTAAAGGAAATATAATAATAAGCGAGACTGAGAAAAGAGTTGGCATTTTTATAATTCCTTAAAGGAGAACGCAGACATTAGTTTTTCATCTCACTTGCCAAAACAGAAATATCTGTTACTCACTATACTGTCCACTGCTAGTTTGGTAAATTGGCGTTGGCACCGTTACAGTGGTGATGGCAGGTGCTGAAGTCTCCTCTTCAGACTTCTCTTCTTCAATTCTTGGCACTCCCGGTGCATCAGAAGATAAGTCATTCAAAATTTTCCTAGAAAAAGAGAATTATATTAATTAAAATAAAAGTGACATTTACTAGCTAAAAACAGTAATAGGAAAAGATCAGAAAACTGGGAAAAAGCTACTAGTGCAGAGGACTAAAGTTTAAAATATAAAAATTTATAAGAATAAACTAAAAAAGGATCAGGGATTTATATGTCAAAATGAAACCATACCAGGACCAGATAAATACAGATTTAAAATACATATTTTTTTAATTTCAGAGAGGAAGAGAGAGATAGAAACATCAATGATGAGAAAGAATCATGATGAGAATCATGGATCGGCTGCCTCCTGCATGCCCTACACTGGGGATTCAGCCCGCAACCTGGGCATGTGCCCTTAACTGGAATGGACCATTCAGTCCGCAGGCCGACGCTCTATTCACTGAACGAAACCAGCTAGGGCCAGATGAATTTTTCTTAAACCTGAATGTAAACACTGTGATTAAAAAATCCAGTTGCAAGTAAAGGAGAGATTAATAAAAATAATTAATGAAATTAATTAAAAAATCATTTTGTGTGGCAAAGAATATAAAAAATTGAGTCAAGAGATATCATCAATACTAGGAGAAAATGTTTACATATATTACATACAAAAGGGCCAATATCCCTGATATATAAAGAACTCTTAAACATTGATGGGGGGGGAAAAGATCAAACCTGTGAGAAAACAGACACTCATACACTAATGTTGGGAGTATAAAATCAGAATAACTATTATGGAAGGAATTTGGTAACATCTAACAAAACTATGTTTACATAGCATTCTCCTAGGAATTTACCCTTAAGATATTCTTCCAACAGCATGAAAATATTAAGGGTATTCATGGTAGTACTGTTTGTAACAGCATATACTAGAAACAGTCTATATGCCCACACATAGGAGAATGGTTGAATAAATATGGTTCATCCCAATATTGGATACACATGGTACCTTTAGTATATGAAAATAAAATAGGAAAATATACATGTATCTCCTTGTCTGTTCAAGAAAAAAAGAAAAAGAGAGAGAGAGGGTAAACAGTTTGATGAGATTAGTACAGCCATAGGCAAACTACGGCCCGCGGGCCGGATCCGGCCCGTTTGAAATGGATAAAACTATTGAAAAAAAAGACCGTACTCTTTTATGTAATGATGTTTACTTTAAATTTATATTAGTTCACACAAACACTCCATCCATGCTTTTGTTCCGGCCCTCCGGTCCAGTTTAAGAACCCATTGTGGCCCTCGAGTCAAAAAGTTTGCCCACCCCTGGACTAGTATCTACTGAAGATGGTTGGGAAAAAAGTAAAAAAGTGTAGAAGAAATGAGTGAGCAGGGACACTTCTGAGTATATGTATACATTTTTGGTACAATTCTAACTTTCAGAATCATGCTAATGTTTCACATATTCAAAACGAAAGAAAATAATATCAACAAGGATGGGGAAAATTCTAAAAATGGAATATAAACAAAAACAAATGAATTTTCTCGTATTTCAAATTAATAACATAATGACAGAAGGGATGAAAAAACCTTAACCCAAGTAATTTTTGACATCTTAAATTTCCAACAAATCAGTCTGCACTAATCACTTAGCTTTAACAGTCTACCCAAACTCTGCCCTTTTATGTTTTTTCAATCACATCTTCATAGTATGTTCATTGACAGATTTATAATTATTGTTGTATGTATTTGTCTTTCAAATTATATAGGAAAAAAAGAGAAATTACAAGGCAAAACTATAATAATCCTGGCTTTTATATTTATCTATGAAATTACCTTTACTAGTATTATATAAAATATTCTATTCTCTTTAATTTCCTTTCTCCAAATTTCCCCTCTGGAAATTCTATAAATGCTGACGCTCTAGCCACTGAAGAGTCAAACCAGTTAGGGTTGAACTTTATTAAACTCTAAAGTAAGCTTATGAAGATTTGCAGAATTAATTTTCCTGGAGATATTGAATATGAAGCCAATATCTAAATATAAAAAAAATGGTTTGGTTCATCTTTGGAGGCAAAGCATGGACCAGGCAACTTCTCTAGCTGAATATTAAAACTACAATAAGGTGCCCCTAAAATTAGGGGATATTAGCAAAGCATCACTTAGAACACAGAACTTAGAACACAGAACTTAGGACACAGAACTCAGAAGAAGACAGAAGGAAGAACACAGAACCTACACAGAACCTACAGACAGAAGAACTTCGCTGGAGAGAACATGGCAAAAGATCCTGGACTGAACCTGACTACAGAAATTGGCAAGAGAACCTGACTAGAACCTGGTGACTGAACCTGGCTGGAGAACCTGGACAGAACCTGGCTGGAGAACCTAGCGAGGGAACATGGCTACAGAACCTGGCTGGAGAACCTGGAGAACCTAGCAAGAGAACATGGACACAGAACCTGGCTGGAGATCCTAACCAGAACTTCGCTGGAGATCCTGACCAGAACTTGGCTAGAGATCCTGGCTAGGCCGCTGATGAACTGAATGCTGCCTCTATGTCATTCCTTCTTCGCCGACTCCGTCCACACCTTTGGGAACCCCTGGACCTGCTGGGGCAAGACCCCGGCAAATGGCGCCCGAACAGGGACCCTTAGGTAATCCCCCCATTCTGCTGATCAACTGAACACTGTCTCCGTGTCCTTCCTTCTTCGCCGACTCCGTCTACGCCTTTGGGAACCCCTGGACCTGCTGGGGTTGGACTCTGGCATCTGGCGCCCGAACAGGGACCCCTAGGTAAGCCCCACTCTCGGGATGGATAGGACTCCACCATAGGAAGAGGGTGGATAGTCTTTGCCGACTCCGTCCACATCTTTGGGAACTCCGGAAACAGGATTCCCCTAGGTAAACCCCCCTCCCCATTGAGAACCCCCACACTCGGGACGGATAGGACTCCACCAGGGTGCTACAGACCCTCCTATAGAGGATAAGTAGGGTAAGAAGGTGGATAGTACAGAACTTAGATTGAGAAGATGTGCCATACTGAGTCCAAAGAAAGAAGACTCTGTATTGATCTTTAGATTAAGAAGATGTGCAATACTGAGTCTAAAGAAATAAGACTCTGTATTGATCTTTTAACACATATGCTTGCTAGCAGAGGAATTAAGGTTACTCCTAGTCAGACAGAACGTTTTATACAAGAAGTATGTCCACGCTTTTCTGAGGAAGGAAAGGTAAATGTAAAGGCATGGGAGGAGGTAGGCCCAAGGAGCCTTATCCTTAACCCCACTGCAGCCTTTCCACCCCAGGAAAGTGCAGGATTGGCAAGCTCTCCCTGGGGTGATAGATCAGGCCTCAGGTAATAGCGGAAAGCGCCAATCCTACTCTTAAAATGGATACAAGAGAGCATTTGGGTTTTTTTTTCTTTTTAATGCCTCCTTTTAAAAAATAAAAAAGGGGGAATTTGCCGGGAGCCGGTCCATCCTTGCTGTTTCAAGGGACCCGGCATATATGGCATACTGTTCTTAATATGTTTGCTCACCTTCTTGGCACTATGTGTTTTAACCAAGGTCTCCTCTCTGAGAAAGGTTGTTTCCCCAGGTAGGGATTTTCCCCTGAAGTTAGGGAGGGAATAAAACCTCTTAACTAAGTGCCAGGCGGGTAATTAATCACTTTAACTACGAACAATCATGCTTAAGCTACATAATCTTTACTCCCTGGAATGGAGATAAGAAACGCCCTAACCTTTGTAATAGAGATTGATAGGATTGAATCAACTGGTATAAATACAGATGTAACAAGACAGCAAGACTCAGAACTTAGAACAGAACTTAGAACACAGAACTCAGAACACAGAACCTACACAGAACCTAGAGACAGAAGAACTTTGCTGGAGAGAACATGGCAAAAGATCATGGACTGAACCTGACTACAGAAATTGGCAAGAGAACCTGACTAGAACCTGGTGACTGAACCTGGCTGGAGAACCTGGAGAACCTGGCTGGAGAACCTAGCGAGGGAACATGGCTACAGAACCTGGCTGGAGAACCTGGAGAACCTAGCAAGAGAACATGGACACAGAACCTGGCTGGAGAACCTAGCGAGGGAACATGGCTACAGAACCTGGCTGGAGAACCTGGAGAACCTAGCAAGAGAACATGGACACAGAACCTGGCTGGAGATCCTAACCAGAACTTCGCTGGAGATCCAGACCAGAACTTGGCTGGAGATCCTGGCTAGAGATCCTGGCTAGGCTGCTGATCAACTGAACGCTGTCTCCGTGTCATTCCTTCTTCGCTGACTCCGTCCACACCTTTGGGGACCCCTGGACCTGCTGGGGTTGGACCCCGGCAAACAGTTATCTGCCAAGTACCATCGCACAAGAAAATGGTTGGCAAATGTGTTGCTAAGTAGATGAATAGTACAGTGTCAGAACTGGCATGTAACTAGAAAATACTATAACCTTATTAAGTGTATTTCAAACCTTTAAACAGAAAAGCAGTAGCCAGCATAATCTACAAAAACAGAAGCAGGAAAAAAAATATCAGTGTTTATCCAGCACTGTTCAGAGTAAGAAGTGCTCTCACTCTGCATGATAAGCTTCCAAGTTATTTTACTAAAGATGAAGAAAAGTAAGCTACTGGGTCCTGAGCTGAGCAGCTAATTGTTTTCCCGACATCTCTGATTTTAACTTCTTTTGACTATTAAATTCCATACCTGTAGGAAGGCCTCCTTGAAAGAATCTCTCTTCGTTTTTGGGAATCAGTTACACTATCCACTGACTCCTGTGAATCTTCACTTTCTGCAATAGTTGAAATCTGAAAATAAAGAACTTTATCTTGATAATCAAATTTCATTCCCATAAAATATTTATGAATTTTAAGAAAAAGTCAAATACAAAAGGACATACATAAACCATATACATGCTTCAGTAGATTAACAAAATCCCTTTTTATGAGAGACCTACACGGATCACTTTCCCCTCCCATTTACTTATTCTATAGAAGTCAGAGGACCTAAAAAATTTGTCAAAACCACACTTCTGTGATATCCAAATTCAGCTTAATCTCTTTCAGGACTTCTTGTAATCAATCCTGAATGCATCAATAGTCCCTGTCAGTTGTTTTCTTACAGTTGTTAGAAAAAATTTACCAAGTAAAATAAAATGTCTGACATGAAGGTAAGAAAAAAATGACTAAATATTTGGTCATATAAGTCTATACAGTGACTATACAAATACTTTCCTTAACTACTGTGAAAACACTTAAAAATATATTTATAAGGGTACAAATAAGATTGGTGATACCCCAACACATTCCAGATGGTGGTTTCTAGTAAGTTAGGAAAAAGCTCTGTTACATATAGATATGGTTCAAAATTGGTAATCTACAATTTTTAGTAAGCAAACACTCAAAGACCTGTGCATTTCTGGAAAGTATCCCTGAACTGAAAAGTAATGAAGTTGAGTAAAGATTTTACATGAAATAATAATAAAAGGAGCAACTAGTATTTCTTACTATATGCCAAGTGCTCTGCTAAATATATATATTATGTTATTTAATACTCACTAAAATAGTAACATTAGGTGCTGGGTAAGTGTGATTATTATATATATTTTATAGACAGAAAAACTGAGGCACAAAGAAGTTAAGTAACTCACCCGAGCCACAAAGCTAGGAAGTAGTGGAGTCACTGTCAGTACTTGGCATCTCAGTTTTAGACATCCTTACAGGCACCAAAATCCTATTGGTTCCCATCTCAAACCAGTTTTTTCAGAAGCAGCAACCCAGACGTGTTTTTAGACCATTTTCAGACTAGAAGTTCATTCACCTAGGCAAGCTTTCTGTCAGATTTATACTGCCAAGTTTCCCTAGTCTGCTCCAACAGGAGCCTCTTACTCTCTCCTGAACTAGGTGTGCACGATGCTGCCAGAGTGAGATTTAGATTTAAACAGGGCAAAAGGGTCTTTGTGGGTTAGCTCCCGGTCAAAATGTATGGCAATAACAATAAGAAAAAACATATTCAGAGGAACCAGAGAAATCCCAAAGGTACTATGTACATCAAGCATGTCAAAGTCAAAGGCTAACACGGGCCAAATAAACAAGGTTTAAGTTTATATGGGCCGCAAAAAAACAAAAGCTTCAATTTTCATAGAAATGTAGGTTTATTTCGATAGAGACATGCTGAATACAAAGGGCTGAAATAAATGAGTCATCGTTAACATAAAATAATAGAACATTTTAATAAAAGTTAATATTTTTTCTTGAACATTAACTTACCACTGAATAACTACACAAATTAATAAGCATAATGCAAATAAACCTATTTTTCTTGTTCTCCGGAAGCAAAATATTTCCTGTTGTGCACACCAAGCAAATCAGTCCAAGACTAATGACGTGGCAATTGGCTGCTAAAATATACGCTGCTGGTATTAGTGGAGAGAAATGATGCGCCTGCGTGTAAGGTGCATAAGGGAAATGAATGCAACACGATTATAGTAACCAGTCATCAGCGAACGTTGTAGTTCATTACTAATAATTATGTATAACAGGATATTGAAAAATTAAGTTATGAAATTTTTATTAAAACGTTTCTTAAATACCGTTATATTGGCTAGGCTGCAAAAATATTCGCTGTGGGCCGCAAACTTGACATGCTTGATGTACATGGTTCTGAGCCTAAGAGTTAGAGTGCAGACACTCATTTTGACAGGGCTTTGTGATATGCACTCACTTTAAAATATAAGAATAGTCTTTAAGACCAAAAATATAACAGGAACATTTAAGGAATCCAGAAATGACAGATAAAAAGATGAGCAAGGCTGAATTTACTCTGTAATTCTCTGCAGAGTAGTAACACTACAGTTACTGCCAAAGGAGCACCTAGAACAATTTCTCACTAATCTGTAGATGCTGTAACTAGCCACTCAGTGTAGTCTGCACAGACTTTCTCACAGAGGTAGAGCAGATAAGGAGCTGTGAAAAGGCCTTAACAAGTGGTCAGATTTTCAAGGAATAAGAAGACAGAACTCATAGTGGACAGTATTTTGTATCAAAAGTGTTTACCTTCATTAAAATTTCTCAGAATCTTAGGTCCTCTATTATTCTTTTTGCCTTGTTTGACTCTCATCCTTACAACCTTCTTTTAAGGATATACAGTGACTTAGGCACACTCTCCCAGGTTGAAAACAACTTCAAAACATGTTACATAAACCACCCATGTGACAGTTTCAAAATGAAATAAATTAATGTTGCTTTTTGTATGCAGCCTTTAATTTTTTTAAACTCAGTGGATCTATTGCTCTTAGAAGGGAAAAAACAACTCTTCCTCTGATCTAAAAGATTTTGTCAATTCAGACAAAAGGAATTAACTTTCCATATTGTAATTACTTAGAACTATGAGGCCAATTCCTATGGATTATCTACCCAAAATAAAAAAGCAACCCAACAAAAACAAAAACACACAGTGGACCCACATTTCTGAGACTAATAAAAATCATGTCAAAAACTCCTTTTTATGCGTCCTGGCTGGTGTAGCTCAGTTGTTTGGGCACTGTCCCATGAACCTCTAGGTTCAATTCCCAGTCAGGACACATGCCCAGGTTGTGGGACATGCAGGAAGCAGCCGATTGATGTTCCGCACTCACATAGATGTTTCTCTCTCTCTCCCTCTCCCTTCCCCTTTCTCTAAAAATAAATACAAATATTTTTAAAAATCCTTTTTATAAATAAAAATTAGTAATTATAGTTTAATATATTTAATAGTCTATTAAAATAACATAAAAAATTACATCCCGCCGAAAACCAGTTTGGCTCAGTGGATAGAGCGTCGGCCTGCGGACTGAAAGGTCCCAGGTTCGATTCAGGTCAAGGGCATGTACCTGGGTTGTGGGCACATCCCCAGTGGGAGATGTGCTGGAGGCAGCTGATCGATGTTTCTCTCTCATCGATGTTTCTAACTCTCTATCTCTCTCCCTTCCTCTCTGTAAAAAATCAATAAAATATATTTAAAAAAAAAAAAAAAATTACATCCCAATTTTAAGTATCATAGACTACTTCATTCCAATGATAGACCACTTCCTCTGAGCCTCACCCTCTATCACCTCACTTATAAACCCCTTCTGGAGCTCCTTAAATAAGTCTTTAACCTTTGCTGCTTATAAGTCAATACATTTTCAAAAGCCAAACTATTACTTGTAGATGTAAAGTTTTAGATCTGTATTTCTCAACTCTCTTTTACTTTGTTAAAAACCGATACCTCCTATTTATATGGAGGGGAAAACTTCCTATTTTGATGTTTTTTTTTGAAATTTCAAAATAAAATATCAGTGAAAATCAAAGCACTGATAATATTAGATGCTTTCTCAAACTATATGTAGTCCCCTGGAAACTTAAGTACTTTTCCTGGGATAGTTCACACTCATGGCTTAGGCAGATTTTTACTCAGTGGATCAAGACGTTTAATAAAAATCTAGAACAATAACTTCCAAGCACTTCTGATCTGCAGATCTATCTCCCTTATAAATAAGAAAAATTTACATAAGCATATAATTTACATAAGCATATATTTCTTATTTGTAAATTATAAGTGTTATTTTACATATAAAACAGTATTTTAAAGAGAGCAAGTATAAATATTAAAATGTATCTGTAAATTTCTTAAATCATTTCATTTTTAATAGTGAATAATTTGCTTTAATGTGCTTTGTCAAAAATCATTTAATACTTTAAAATAGTGACTCAAAAATATGATTATAAGCTTGGGCTTTTGAAATATGATTTAAAATCTGCTATTGTTGAAAAAAAGAGACCTCTTGAGATGTAGATATAAATAGGTGAATTTTTGGCTGGGCTTACTTAATAAAACAATCTACCAGTTATACAAACTTTTGATGAGATTTATCTAGTATATTTTCATTTCCCTGGTTCTCAGTTACTATATGCTAATAAAAGGTATTATGGTTTCATATTTTAACCAATAAGTTCAATGCCTACTGAAACTCTAGAGGACTTCTAAAAAATTTGAAAAATTCTATTTCCAGGTTTTAAAAGTATATAGATTTGACTTTTTAGGTGCCAAATTTACAGTTTTTGCAGAATATTTTTATTGTTTGCAGTTGTACAAAAAGGTATGAAAATATTTCCAAACTTTTATTTTCAAAATGCTCTCACCACAGCATAAGTTTCTTTCAAAAACTAGTTCCTCTCTCATGCATTAATATGTCACTTTCTCCCAGAAAGGATAAAAGAGATTTTCTTTCCAAAAATATATTAGGTAATATGTCCCTTGCACATCCTTGCTTGCCATCATTAAAAATACCAGAATCTTCAGAACACGTATCTTATGTAAAAAAACAAACAATTCATCCTTTCATTAGATAACTCTTACACACTTTGCTATATAACCACTAAACCTCTATGTTGCACAAAAGATTTTTGCTCCCATGACATTACACAGTATTGTAAAGATTCTATCAAAAATTCCATCTCCAACTACTCTCCCCCTTGCTCACTCTATTTGAGTTACATCTTCTCACTATTCCTCGCTATTCCATACTCTCACTTCTCAGCCTCTGGACTTCCTTTTATTATTGTACTAGAGGCCTGGTGCACGAAATTGGTGCATGGGTAGGGTCTGTAGGCCTGGCCAGCAATCAGGGCCGATCGGGGCCTTCCTTCTGGCTGCTGGCCAGGGCCTTCCTTCGTTCCGCAGCGCCCCCCCCCCCCCCCCCCCCGCTTGTTGTGGTCAGTGCACGTTATAGGGAGTGATCAAACTCCCAGTCTCCCAGTCGAATTCCCGAGGGGACACTTTGCATATTAGCCTTTAATATACAGTATATAGAGGGGCTAGCCTCCTTCACTGCCTTCTGCTTACCATGTTCCCTGACCACCCAACATAAAACCATCCTCCATCACTTTCACTTGCTTTAATCATCTTCCCAGTACTTATCCTCACCTGACATATTTTATTTTTTCATTGTTTCTCTTCGCTCAAATGTGATCTTCATGAGAATAGGGAAGTATTATTTGTTCACTGCTGTCTTTCAAAGCACCTAGAACAGTGACTGGCACATAACATCTGATCAATAAAAATTTGTTGAAGGAATGAATGTAATTTAAGGTAATCCATAAATCCTCTGACATGTTTAAATTACACTGTATTAAAAATGCATCCAAAACCAACAAATAAAAAGTGAGGACGCCACTGTTAATTTCTATACATTTATGTCACTCACATAATATGTGAGACTTGACTCTTAACGTATACATAAGATAGAGTTAGGGTACCAATGTCAAGTGATAAATGGAATATTACTACAGCTTAGTTTCTGATATTCTTAGATTAAAAAATATAAACAGAAGTCCTAATATGTTATTCTCACACCTGAGAAATGTGCCTTGTGTATTTTGGAAATGCTGTTCTAGAATAATACTATTCTCCCATCTAGAAGTTCGAGAAACCCCTTCTCTCCTTTTGGAGATCACCTTTTTTGATGTAAACTACTTCCTAGTTATTAATACTAGTCACTGTTAACCAGCTGAAGTGACCATTAAAATGTAATAGATTTTCCATGGTTTAGGCCAGCCGTGGGCAAACTACGGCCCGCGGGCTGGATCCGGCCCGTTTGAAATGAATAAAACTAAAAAAAAAAAAGACCGTACCCTTTTATGTAATGATGCTTACTTTGAATTTATATTAGTTCACACAAACACTCCATCCATGCTTTTGTTCCGGCCCTCCGGTCCAGTTTAAGAACCCATTGTGGCCCTTGAGTCAAAAAGTTTGCCCACCCCTGGTTTAGGCCCTTTTTAAAAAATACTGTTATTTATATCTCTGTTTATACAATTCAGGCTTTCAATTATAGGCATAACTCACCTTAATAGAAAAAATGTGTTCTTGAAAAGATGAACCCATTTCTAGAGTTAATGGCCCTATGAACCCCAGGTCCACATTATTATTATTGTTGTCACAAAGTAAAGATTAAAAATAAGAATAAACATGTATCACATATTATTACCAAAAACTGTAATCTTAACAAATTTTGTGGGTATAATTTTGGTAATTTTTTGGTGTTCTTTATAGAAAGACCTACTATTAAGTGAAACTGAAAAAGTAAAGATTAATGTGAGCTTTAGAATCTTTCCACTATTATCAAGAAGAAGATATGAATAGGGAATTAGTAATGGCATAGGATAGAGAATGTAAGGTAACATTAATGAAATAAAAATGGAGGCAAAGTATACGAGACTATAACCCATCCACTATGATTCCACAGAAATATCAAATTCTTCCATTTTTAACTGGGCAATACTGACTCCTACTTGGTAAAAAATTCCCTTTCAGGTATCTTTCAGTATGGAAATTCCTACAATTTAATGATTTCACATGAAAACATCCTTTTTTCCCACGAAATATTCAAGCAAGCCAAAAGCACAAGGACATAATGAAGCGGGGAGGTAACAGCAGCTCAATACACAAAAGAATAATATGGCAGACAAGATCTAACAAGTCCTTTCAACGTTAACAGAATGCTCCCAAGACAAAGGAGACACTTCTCCCCTCTACAAATACCCATCAGTCTGGCTACCATGCCCAAGGAAAATGCAAGGCTCACCCACAGAAGACAACAAGGATGGTAATGAGGAACCAAAGCTACACCACACAATAAATGACTGAAGAAAAATAGAAAATTGTTTGGTTTGATCTTTTATTTTTTTAATAGGAAGGGGGTGGGAGATGGGAATAGGAAGCAGTCTAACAGAAAGGAGTTAAAACTTGCTTAGCTGAAACCGGTTTGGCTCAGTGGATAGAGCGTCGGCCTGCGGACTGAAAGGTCCCAGGTTCGATTCCGGTCAAGGGCATGTACCTGGGTTGCGGGCACATCCCCAGTGGGAGATGTGCAGGAGGCAGCTGATCGATGTTTCTAACTCTCTATCTCTCTCCCTTCCTCTCTGTAAAAAATCAATAAAATATATTTAAAAAAAAACAACAAAACAAAACTTGCTTAACTGGGATCACCTGGTGAAAGGTATACCTGGTCTCTGTCTGCAAATCAATGGAAAAAATATCCTCAGTGAGGATTAAAAAAAAGAAAAGGCATACCTGGTTCATCACATGGAACAATATTTTAGCAATTATCCCTAATTAAAAATTATAAATTGGTTACCTCAGGAGATAATATGACCTTCCTTCCTTTGAAAGCAATGCTGGGCTACAATTTAGAGGAAGGAAGAAAAGACAGATAGGGAAATTAAGCCACAGACTAAGAGCTGGATAAGTAACAAGTTTGGCCTAGACTTAGAAGATCTCTAAGATTTTTATTCAAACCTGAATCCCATGTTTACAGAGAAGGACAAAGACATAAAGGAAAATTTCTCACCTTCCTTTCTAAAAATAGTTCTCTCCAAATCTAGGACCTAGGACTCACCTGAGTTCCGGAGAAAAGTCTTTTTAAGTCCTTACAGGAAGACTGTGAAGCAAAAATATGAAATGGGAGGCTGGGGTTATGGCCTACTTGAATGAACGTTCAAGTTTTTTTTTCTTCTTCAATAAGCTCACCGCAAAGATGTATACTGCTCTAGGTTTTCCCTACATTTGAGTAGTCACCTTCAGAGGTCTACGTGCCTCTAATTCCTTTGGATCCAACTCAAAGGAACAATCTCTCTAAAGAATGAGATAATGTGTAGTATAATCCCTGACTCTTAAGGTGCCCTTTCTGAAATATCATTATTTCAAAGTTATATTCTGTAACTTAGAACCCTAAACATAGCTCATATTACAAATGCTTTATGTAATCTCTAAATTCAATAATATCTTAGGTAAGGTTATTAGTTAATTTTTGGCAAGGGTTTATTTTTTTAGTTGCATATTTAGAAAATAGTTACAAAGATATTAGTTTTATTTCTTAAGTTTCCTTAATTGAGGTACATGAACCTTACAGTCTCTCCCAAACATTTTCATTTTATCCCATGTACTTATTAAAGATTTCCCCCAATCAATTCTCTTTCTTCTATAGCTTAAGAAAATCTTTTTCTTCTATGTCTGTTCTTGGGTATATGCATTCCTATAAAAGTGACTATACAGATGCAGCATATTCATTTATTGTAAAATAAAATAAACTCTGAACTACATAATGCCCCTATTTTCATAACTAATGAAAGAATAGAGATATGACTATAAACCACAGTTATAAAAATAGATGCAGAACTTTTTATACACATACCTGAACTGTCTGGACTTGTGGAGACTGAATAACTGATGGTTGGGCCGCCTGAATAACTCCATGGACTTGAACTGTCTGCCCATTGGGCAGCTGTACTAATGTTACGGTGGGAGCAGATGATGTTGCATGAGCTGCTGGCATAGATACCTATTGTGTTGAACATGGAAAAAAATTACCATCACAGATACCTTCTTGGGAGTACTTATGTTGAATATAAAGCAAAATTTAGCAGCAAAATGATGACCTTTTTGCTAGGTAAGTCTTTCATTGGTGTGAAAGAAACTAATGATTAAATTTAATATTCTTAAAAAATAAAAAGACTTCAAATACCTCCCCGTCCCCATTTTTCAACTCCTCCCAAATGACAAAAGTCAAAATACTATTTTAATGTAATAACAAATTATATAACAGACTTCCTTTGAAAACTAAATACTACTTTATTTGTATGGAACTTCACATTTTCCCACCTGCTTTCATACCCAATTTCTCATTTTGCTCTTCAAAAATATCAAGCCTGGGTAATCAGGATTATATCCATTTTAGAAAGAGAAAAGCCAATCCCTCAAAGAGATTAAGTAATTTACTGAAAGTCAAGCAATATGCTAGACCTAAACATAAAAGTCTTCTTAGTAACATGTATTAAATAAATCATGTTCTGAAATATAATTGCTCTCAAGTTTGGGCAAAACTTAGCTACTAAGTCTATAACAAATGCACATTTTATAATACACAGCATAGTTTTATCTTAAACTAATAGTATGCCTTTCATTAATGAGAAAGTATTAATAGGTATAATAAGGTAAAAATTTCTACCACCCCCCAAATAAATCACTAAACTGGTAATAGTTGATATTTTAAGGATTTATTTTCCTCTTGAAGGAATAAAGGAGCAGAGTTTAGAAAATATAAGAGAAACCATTTTTTCCTTGAGGCACAAAAGAAGGCACTATTAATGAGTCAATATGTAGGTACAAAGGGCTCTTATGCCATATGTCTATCAGATGGTGCTTAACTATTCCTATGCTAGCACAAATTTGGGGTAGGAATTTTATTTGCTCATTTGGTGAACAGTTACTGGGGACCTATATGCCGAGAACAATGTTAGATCTGAAACTACAAAAATGAGAAAGATATAGATTGGGGAATGTGTGAAGAAATGGGGAAAAGGACACAAATAAATATACTTCAGTGAAATAATGAGGTTTGCAAAGATAAAAATAAACACATTGAGAGTGATCCCATCCCACCAAGAGAGGAGGCTACCAGGGAAGAATATAAATTTGCAACAAAGAACACATGTTAGGCATGTTGCTATAAGCATAGAATTCCAGGCAGAAAGGCTAGCACTGGCAAAAGCAGAGAAACAGCATGATCTGTACATGACAGAGAGGGAAGGCAAGCAGTCAGTACTACTGGAGATGTGTTTTACTCTAAAATGTAGGAAGTGAGGAGATGAAATAATAAAGGCAGGCAGGAGCTGAATATGAATTCAGCTAGTCATGAAACTCTTATACATGTCATATTAAAGAACTTGCACTTTATCCTGAGGAGCTTGGGAAAGGCAATTGAAGGGTTTTGAACTCCTGATCATGGTGAGGTTTGCATTTTAGATAGATCTCTTTTGTGCAATGTGAAAAATATTTATGTCACAGGAAGAAAAAAGTGGAGGCTAGGAGACCAATTGAGAAAACCTAAATAGTAGTTAAAGTGAGATGATAAAGGCAGAAAGAAGGTACTAGATGTGGTAGGGATGGGAATGAGAGAAGCAATGTAATAAAAATTCAGGAGGCAGACCAGTAAGGGCTTTATAAATGATTGGTTGAAGGAGGTGAGAGGAATCAAAGATGATCCATATATTTCATCTTTGGGTAACAAATGGTAGACTCTGCTATCAACTGAACCAGAGAACACAAGAAGGAGAAACTTTTGGGTGGTGGGGGTGGTGGTGGAAGATGAAAGAATTGATCTGATATTTGACTGTGAAGCTTGTGGGGAAGATCTCTATTGAAGATAGAGGTTAAAACCATAAGCCTTCCATCTTTGGACAGTTAGAAGTCCTTCCTAATTAGTCATTTTTCTCTCTGGCCACTATAAATCTTGTTCAGTTTTACTTGGTTCTCAAAATGTGGTCCATGGACTACCCCTCCACTAGTTACATAGGGACCTGTTTATAAACGCTCATGGACCGAAAGACACATTTCCCTACACTGAACCCCAATCTTAAGTTATTCAGAATAATTCATCTCAATTCCATATAAAAGCTCTTCTAATATTTAATTATGTCCTCTTCTGACTATTCTCTAGGGCTAAGTAACTCAGTGAATAATTCCTTTTCTACCTTGACCATTCTACATGATGGCTCCTCTCATTATAAGTTTATAAAATACAGATACACAAAAATAAAATGAGACACTTATATTCCTACCACTCAGAGCTAATCACTTTTTATAATTTTGCTGTAGATCTAGGTGATTTTAAAGGTACACATATACACTCAATTTTTGTAATACATTATCATGGAATCTATTTTGAATCCACTATGAATACTTTTCCATTCCATTAACAGTCTTTTTTTTTAATGGTTGCATAATAAAGTATATAATTTATTCAATAAATTCCTTTATATATATATATAAATATATATATATATATATATATAAATATATATATATATAATTGATTTCAGAGAGGAAAGGAAAGGGAAAGAAAGATAGAAACATCAATTCTGAGAATCACTGATTGGCTGCCTCCTGCATGCCCCCTACTGGGGATCAAGCCCACAACCCCAGGCATGTGCCCTTGACCTGAATTGAAACCGGAACCCTTCAGTCTGCAGGCTGACGCTCTATCCACTAAGCCAAACCAGCTAGGGCCATATTTAGGTTTTCAAATTTGCCTATTTCAAGAAGCTACAACAATAATTACCCTTTTATCCAACTCTTCAGTTAAGTTCATAAAAATTTACATTCTCGCACTAAGTGGTTTGGCTTAGTGGATAGAGTGTAGGCCTGCAGACTGAAAAGGGTCCCAAGTTTGATTCCGGTCAAGGGCATGTACCTTGGTTTGGGGCACATCCCCAGTAGGGGGTGTGCAGGAGGCAGCTGATCGATGTTTCTCTCTCATCGATGTTTCTAACTCTCTATCCCTCTCCCTTCCTCTCTGTAAAGAGTCAATAAAATATATTTTTTTAAAAATTTACATTCTCATAGTCAAAACCAACAATATTTTCATTTTCACTTAAAAAAATTTCTGCAAATTCCAAAAGTAAAATAAGACATCTCATTATTGTTTTAGATTTTCTTCCTTCATTAGTTAGGCTGAATATTTTTTCCTGTTCATTGATCTTGGATTTGACAATTTTATTCTATTTTTCTAGTATTAAAGACTGACAATAAGTACTGGCCAGAGTGGCTCAGTTGGTCTGGAGTCGTCCATGCACAGAAAGGTTGCTGGTTTGATTTCTGGTCAGGGCACACACCTAAGTTGTGGCTCAATCTTTGGTAGGGGGTGTGCAGGAGGCAGCCGATCAATGTTTTGCTCTCACATCAATGTTTTTCTCCCTCTCCCTTCCATTCTCTCTCAAAATCAATTAAAATATATATATATTAAAAAAAGACACAATGGAAACAAAAGCAGATATTGGGATGACAAAAGGAAATTATGTTGACAATGTATGATGTATGTGTTACAGACTTGGATGAGCAAGTGAAAACAACTGTAATTAGAGATAAAAAGAACAAAAAAGTATACAAATGGGAATTAGCTTTCCTAAAACTCAAACATCATGCCACCCTGTTTTCAAAAGTTTTAAGTGCTAGAGGACTGCTTAGTAAGAATGACATATGGAACGTGTATAATAATTTTGCTCCTTCCTGAATCTCCAATTAAATTTCATGAAACTGATTTTGTTTTTACAGGCATAATCATGCAAGCATGAGAATGGAAAAGAATACGAAATTTGGAGGCTGGCCCTAGCGGGTCTGCCTCAGGGGTTGGAGCATCGGCCTGTGGATGAAGGGTCACGGGTACATACCTCGTTTTCAGGCTGGATCCCCAGCCCGGTCAGATGGTGCGGGTTGGGTGGGATGGGGCAACAAGTCGATGTGTCTCTCTCACATCAATGTTTCTCTCTCTGTCTCTCCCCTCCCCTTCCACTCTCTCTAAAAATCAATGGGAAAAAAATATCCTCAGGTGAGGATTTAAAAAAGAAGAAATTTGGAGGCTGGAAAGCAGATGGATGAATGGTATTATACTTAGAAAACCTCAGAAAGCCAACTCATAGGGTGGAGGCAGGGAAAGCATGATTTGCACCATAAAATCCTTAAGGGTCTGGAATCTAAGACACCCTGGAAGGTGGAGTGAAAGAATGAGGATAAGGAAGGCTGTTTCAGAAGCAACTGAAACTCCTCCTCACTCCCTGTGGAGAGAACTAAGGTATCCCATGCTGCAAGAGAAGTGGAGATTCCCTGGATAGAGACTGTCTCTAGACTTGACTGCCTAACACAGGGAATTGCTGAAGGTGGAGTACTAAACCTCAGTCTTCTCTGTATTTACCTAGGCCTTTACCATACAAGCAGAGTATTAGTGAATACTAATACTCTTTCTCTGGGGAACCTGACCAATGCCAAGGGGCAGAAAAAAGACCTAAAATATACTGCCAGTCACCCTAAGTGAAGCTCACAACTCATTATAAGCCTCAAACATATCCACAGAGCTTCCAACACAGCTTTTTGGTTCCCTACTTTTAAACCTGAACAGATGACTACAAATCACATTCTAAAATGGAAGATGAAGAGCAGAACAAATGGAAGGGGGGAAAAGCTATAAAGGAAAATCTATGTACAGAGATGAAAACTTAAAATAAAACCTAATTAATATTCTGATATAAGAAAAAATATTGCCTTTGTGAAATATAAACAGGATGCTATTAAAACACAAATGGACTATTCAGAGAACAAAAGGAATTCTTAGAAACATGACAGGAGAAATAAAAAAATTTCAACAGATGGGTTAGAATGTAAATTTGAGGAAATCTCTCAGAAAACAGAACAAAAAGACAAAGAGATATAAAACAGGAAAGAAGAGATGAGAAAATTAGAGAAACAATTCTATAGGTATAACATCTGTATCACAAGAATCCTAGAGAGAAAAGAGTAAAAACCATCAACCAAATAATTTAAAGAAATTGTGCAGAATTGAAAGCATGAGTTCCCACTACAAAAGGACCCACTGAATAAATAGGACAATGGATGAAAATTGTCCAAATCAAGATCCTAGTAACCCAATAATGAAATAATGAAGCACTATGAACAGAGACGAGATTTTTTAAGATACCAGAGTTACAAAATAAGAGATGCATTTAGTCTCAAACAGCAACACTAGAAGTTACCTGTCTTTAAAATTTGAAAGAAAAATGATTTCTTTACCAAGAATTCTTTACCCAAACTTGCTCAAGAAACCACTGGAAATCATGCTTTCCTATTTTCAGAACACAAACTTCTCAAGAAAGTCAGTAGGAGGAAGAAATTTCCAGAATGATGTACTATAGCAGACTTAGAGGTCATCAGGCCAGAAAAGATAGTGTGATGTGAGAGACATGTTGAGCGCTGTCACCATCAAAATCCCCCGTGGCATTGTATCTTCTTACTAGAGGGCCAAATGCTTGGATGAGCCCAGATTCTTATCTGTGCATGTTTTTCAACCATGTACTGATAAAGCCCTGGTTCTCCTGCTTTGTTCCTGCACCCGACTCATCTGAATACATTTACTTCATCCTCATGTGTCTTCTATTCCTCAAGAATGGAGGTGGGCCTGAGTGACCTCAGGAGAAAACAGATCAGCCCAATTATATTCCTGCTGGAGGTCCAGTTTTTGGCCCACACTTTAACTCAGTGTGGTAACCATCAATGGTTGGCCCTCTATTTCCTAAGATGCTATTCTTGCTCAGTGACTCCTCTAGGAGAGCTTTAAAACTCTTTGGGAAGCTGAGGTATGATATCCCAGAGCCTCTGCTAGGATTATTTTCTCCTGGGAGACTTCACATGAAATAGGCAATATCATACTCTTACCTAGCATATTTATTTTTGCTATTTGGTGTTTATATTAGCCATCTTTCTCATATACGTTCAAACAGTTGTTAATAAAATAAACTATTTAAGGAAAAATATTTAATAACAAAAAATAAGGATGAGAGAATATAAATATAACCTTAGAGATAGAATGTTTCAGACAAAGACAAAATGGAAGAGTCATGAATTATATTTAAAATATACAGGAAACAAAAACTATCATCCTTGAAATTTACTTGTGTGTCAATTTATTTACTTATCCTATATTTTTAGTTTAAGCACATATAAACTTAGCCTTTCAGATTCTCTGCATTCCTATGTCCCAAAATAAATTTGCATGATATGAAAAAAAGCACTTATAAGGTTTTCTTCCTTTGTTTAAGAGACAATTAATCTGCCCACTAGTTAAAATGTAATTTTCTGAATCATGCTGCTACACATAGGGTATCAGTTTAACAAATCACTTTTTTTCTGATATGCAACTGAATACTATCCTTTCTAAAATTAGTCTAATACTAAAATAGGAATTTTGATATTCTAAGAATGTCTGTGTTCATTCTATGCATATCTCTGTAATAAAAACATATGCCTCTCAGACGAGAAGCAACTTGGAATCTCTCCATGTATTTAATACCTGGGCTAATGTGGCAATCTGTGGCTGGGCTTGAACGGTCATTTGCTGGTTTTCAGCTTCTGTTACAGCTGCATCTCCACTCTGCTGGTTCTCTGCTCCAGATTCCATGGTCATTTAGCCACCTACAATAATATGGAAGAGTGTTACAAGCACTACAGTGCTTTGTGCTTTTTGTGACTTTAAAGGCAAATTTCAAGTTAATAGGTATTATGTAGTGGATAGGTTAGCAAATACACTAAAAAAAGTCTAGTTACAATATAATGTAGCTTAATTATTATAAAACTTGTCCAAATTTGCTGAGTTGTAAATGTTTCAGTCCCTTCCAAAAAGAAAAACACTTTCTTTTTCCTTGCCATTTCTTCCCAATGAGAGATTACTCTACCTAGGCTATTTCTCTCTTCCATGAATCTCCCCTACTGACAAGGGGAGGGGGAGAGAGAGAGAGAGAGAGAGAGAGAGCGAGCAAAGTTATAATTTTTCAAACTATACCAATCAGGAATGAAGAGAGCGTAGAGAGCAGTGAGCTGATGATAAGGTATACTGGCTTCATGGTACCTCCTATAAGAGTATTCCCTCCTACTATATGGGGGGAAAAAACAGAAAAATTAGAAGCTACTTCCATGTGAAATTACTGGAGGTAGGGCAAAATCAGCCCAAGTTTCAAGAGCCAAAGTTGTGGGGTATCAAGATAGAAAGGTGGGATAATTAGTCACAGAGCCAAACTGGAGGCTCCAAACACATGAAAATATTAGTGTTCTGATTCCTCTCACTATGTATAGTATGCAACACCATACACACACGCACGCGCGCGCACACACACACACACACACACACAAACTTCTGAAATTTTAAATTGCAAAATTGTGGATAATTTTAATTAGGCTAATGTTTTTTTACTTTTGAGCCCTGCTGTGCTAAGGGCTTAGTATATTTGTTGGGTTATCAGAACTGGATGGCAGCAGCAGCTACCTAGAGATGAGAGAAATTTCTGATAACTGGGGAAGCCATCATGTGTAAAGGATTCACAATGAAAGGGATTACTTCTTATCTCTGGACTACTGTTATCATTCAGTGCCTAGCATATTACTTGTCAAAATGAATTTATTAATAGTTAAAATTACCTACAATGATTGTATAAATAACATAAAACCCAAAATGCTTTTCCAGACTTCATTACATTTATTTTGTAACTCTGAAATTGACCATCAACATTTCACTGTTCCTTATGTGTTTACTACATACCATCAGAATGTGTCACATACTAATACATTTTGCCATCATTTACAGGATTCTATAAAAAAAGCGTTTTACAAGTGACAGTTAAAAGTTAAAGTGGAAATATTTCTGGAAAGGAATAAAAGTAATTTAGAAATTCAGAATTCATAAAACAGATAAAAAAGAAAAAGGTCAACTGACTAAACTACATAATTACTTAAAACATTTATATGGCAAAAGCCATCAAGACAAGTGCACAGGGAGAAAATATCTGCCACATATAATTAACACAGTAACCTCTAGAATACAGAAAGTACTAATCAATAAGAAATTCTTACTGAACTACTATTGACTAGTTCACAAAAATGTATGTTCAAGGATATTCACTGTAGAAATTTTTTATAATAGCAAAGAACTGGAAACAAGTATCTATCATTAGGAGGACCTTTAAAGAAATTATAGCAGTAAAGACAAATAAAATCTATAATGTAATGACATAAAACTTTAACAGTGGGCCATGAACATATTATAAAATAGACCTCTGATTTATGTTTAAAACAAGAAAAAACATTGTTGTAAAGGTATATGCACGGAAAAAGGTATGGGAAGTTATTTAATCAAGAGCTAATATGCTAATTTGACTGAACAGTAGAACAACTGTCAGGAAGACCTTCCGGACGAAGCCAGAGCCAGGGCTGTGAGGGCCGGTGAGGCAGGCAGGGCTGGGAATTTCGTACATCGGGCCTCTAGTATACTGTAAGTGGTAGCTCTAAATAGAGGAAGATTTGGTAGACATGTATAGGATGCTGACTTTCACCTCTTTTTATATTATTTTTCTCTTCCCATGAGCAAAGATTCAGGAATACTTGTACAATGTAAAAAAAAAAATTAATAGCAAAAATCATGGATAACATTTTGAAACTATGAACTAAAAACTGTGTTTCAATAATAATTTTGAGATACCTGTTGACAAGATTTTTTAAAATCCCAGATACAGTTTACATGAAATTACTATTTTTGTTGAAATTTTGCCCAAACTGTTTACCCTATATTTCCAAAGAGTAATTCTTTTTTAAAGTTATCAAATAATTTTGATTATCATTTGTGACAGTTACTGACTTTTATACTTAATGATCTGTGCTCTTTTAAACTACAGTATTTAAGAAAAATATCAAAAGTAATAGAAAGCAACAGTAACAACAAAACAATTTATGTGCTTTAAATGTTGTGCATACTTTTGGTCTGGGAGAAAATGGAAGTGAAAGTAATAACAATATTACAACGATTCAATAATAATAGGTAAATGAGTCCATTTGAGATTAATACTAAGTCAAGCCAAATAAAAGCAGAAATCCACACTTTTCTCCATCTTCTCTAGTCATTTTAATGAAAACGAAGATAATAAAATTTATCATCACAATACTTCCTTTGTAGACAGTGTAAGCAACCATTTTTATTTATTTTAATAAATATATTTTTATTGATTTCAGAGAGAGGAAGGGAGAGGGAGAGATAGAAACATCAATGATGAGAGAGAATTATTGATCAACTGCCTCCTGCACGCCCGACACTGGAGAGAGAGCCCACAACCTAAGCATGTGCCTTGACTGGGAATCGAACTGTGACCTCCTGGTTCATGTTCAAGCACTGAGCAATGCCAGCCTGGCCGCAACCATGTTTAAAAGACTTTATCTCAATTCCCCCCTCCTTTTTTTTTTGCCTATACTATCATTCATTACAGTTTCACTCAACTTAATTTGATTAAAAGTAATCCTATACAATAAAAGGCTAATATGCAAATTGTCCCCTCGAGAGTGCGACTGACCAGAAGTTCGACCGCTCGCTATGACTTGCACTGACCACCAGGGGGCGGCGCAGGAGGGAAGAAAGGCCCCGGGCCGGCAGCTGGGCTTGATCCCCAGTAGGGGGTGGGCAGGAGGCAACAGATCAATGATTCTCTCTCATCACTGATGTTTCTATCCCTCTCTCACTCTCCCTTTCTTTCTCAGAAATCAATAAAAAATGATACAAGACCAGAATATTATTCAACAAAATTATCTTTTACCTGGAGAGTCTCTATTACTCACTACACAGCCCTCGTTTTAACTGCTGTTATAGTTATTAAATAGTTTAATAGTCCCTTTTCTTAATTTTCAGAGAAGATAAGTTTTTTTCTATCTTAGAAGCCTTCAAGGAATTTATGAATAAGGCTGTATCACTTTACACAGTAAAGATAGTAGATAGTTGAGAGTTTAAAATGTAGTTTAGTTAAACATCCCAATAAATGTCAAACGAGCACTGCCATGACATTTAAAATAAGAGAATGTGCTCTGCAATATAGTACTGATTAATGTGGGGGGGGGGGGGGGAAACGATAACTTTTCTGATAAGAAAAATGGTAGGAGCAAAGTTTTAATTTTTAAAATGCGTTTTACTGTTGATAGTATTACAGATATCTCCCATTTCCCCCCTTTTACTCTCCTCCTCCCAGCTCCTCCCCACTCCTCCCCCAGGCCTTCACTTCCCTACTGCCCGTGTCCATGGGCTACGCATTATGTTCTTTGGTTATCTCTTCCCGTCCCTCAACCCCACATCAAGGTATGTCAGTCTGTTCCGCACCTCCATGCTTTGGGTCTTATTTTGTTGGTCAGTTCATTTTGTTCATTATTTTCCACAAATAAGTGAGGTTATGTGATATTTGTCTTTCTCAGATTGGCTTATTTCACTTGGCATAATACTTTCCAGGTCCATCCATGCGGTCCCAAAGGGTGAGATCCCTATTTTTTTTACAGCTGCATAATATTCTGTAGTGTAAATGTCCCACAGCTTTTTTACCCATTCATCTAACAATGGGCACTTGGCTATTGCCAAATCTTAGCTACTGCGAATAATGCTACTATGAACATATGGTGCATATATTCTTTCTGATTGGTGTTTTAGGGTTTTTAGGATATATTCCCAGAAGTGGGATCGCTGGGTCAAACGGAAGTTCCATTTTTTATTTTTTGAGGAAACTCCATAGTTTTCCACAGTGGCTGCACCAACCTGTATTCTCACCAGCAGTGAACTTGTGTTCCCTTTCTCCACATCCTTGCCAGCACTTGTCTGTTGATTTTTGTATGATAGCCACTCTGACAGGTGTGAGGTGATACCTCATAAATCTCACTATGGTTTTGATTGCATTTCTCTGATGATTAGGGACTTTGAGCATTTTTTTTTCATATGTCACTTGGCCATTTGTTTGTTCTCTTTGGAGAAATGTCTATTCAGATCACCTGCCCATTTTGCAAAGGTTTAAATTGCGGTAGACCTTTAGAGAAATGACTGTGTCACTGGCTGGTGTCAGATTTTGTATAGAAGCAAAGAGAAAAGAAATCACAATACATAATGGTCAATCCAAAGTAATCAACAATTACTAGGGCAAAATGAGAATATGAGAATGATGTCTCTTAAGGTAAGTACTGGGTTCAGAATTTTTATAGTGCAATAGATTTTACTTCTATTTTATATAACAATATAACCTGAGGAAATTCACAAATAATCACTTTTCTAAAACCAACAATATCTTCAATTTGAACAGTTTACATATATTTGTATTTCAGTTTCATAACTGTTCAAGTTACTGAAGATAAAGAAATATACAAAATAAAATTGTAAAACACTTTTCCTTTGTGAACTTATATTCTAGTGTGAGGGAACAGGGGAGAGAAAGTAAATCAGATGGTGAGAAATGCTGTGTAAAAAATAAACCTGGAAAAGATGTTTGAGGGATTTTTCAATATTATAAAAGCTGAGCAGTGAAACTTTCATTGATTTAAAGTAGCATTTCAATTCTATACAGAACTATACAAGTCAGGGACAAATTCCTAGCAGCACTAGTTTCATCTCTATCTGCCTCTACCAAGTT